ATGATGAAATACACTGCTGAGGGGAGCAGTGGGCACAGCAGGAGAGGTCTGTTGCGCCATGTGGGACCCTCGCCAGAGGCCGGGGATCGAACCGGTGCTGCAGAGGCTGCGGGCAGCTTCGCAGTCCAGTGCTCAACCGCTGCGCTACCAGGGGAGGCCCCTGCATGTTTACTTTTAATAGAAACTGCCAAACTGTCTTCTAAAGTGCCCTCTATTATTTTGTATTCCCACCAGCAATGAATGATCCTAACCAGCATTTGATAAAAGTATTTTTGGTTTTGGCCATTCTGATAGGTACGTTAAATTAAAACAATACTTCATTATTGTTTTAATTTGTGTTTCCCTAATGACTTATGATGTGGGCCATCTTTTCATATCCTTACTTTCCATCTAAATAACGTCTTTTGTGAAAGGATTATTCCTTTTTTCATTGTTGATTTTCAAGAGTCCTTTGTATATTGTGGTTAACAATCCTTTATGAGATGTGCCTCTTGCAGATTTTTCTCCCAGCATTGTCTTCTTGAATTGTCTTTTGTAGCGCACAACTTTTTAATTTTAATGAAGTCTAGTTTATCAGTTACTTGTTTTATGGATCTTGTCTTTGGTGTTGTATCTGAGAAGTCATCACTAATCTAGATTTTCTCCTGTTGCCTTCTAGAAGTTTTATAGTTTGTATTTACCTCTATGATCCATTTTGAGTTAGTGTTAATGAAGAGTGCAGGTATGTGTCTCGATTCTTTTTTTTTTTTTTGCATTTGGATATCTAGGTCTGGTATCTTCTGTTGAACAAATTGTCTTTGCTTGGTATTACCTTTTTGCTGTTGTCAAAGATTAGTCGACCATATTTATATGATCTATTTGTGGATTTTCTATTGTTTCATTGATTTGTCTGTTCTTTGACTAATACCACACTGGAATCTAATGAATGTCACCTACAGCCTCCCTATTTCCACTGTGGACTCTGGGCGTCCTTATCCAAGCCTTTTGGCTTTTCCAGGCACCTTTCTCTACTCCATCAATGGCCTCTCAGATACTTGTCTCAGTTCCTTCAGCCTCCACCTCATATTCTTCCCAACCAGTTTAACCAGGAAACTACCCTCTACGAGGCAGCAGGAAGAAAAAATTACACATATTATACATTCCTTGAATAATTTGTTTAGAAGTTCACTACGAAAAAATGTCAAGGTCTGTCATCATTTCAGAGAAAATACCAGATTATTTGTTGGGTAGGTACTGTGGGCCTTTTGCTTCTGGTTTGAGGTACCTTTCTAGAGAGGCCTGTATGAAGAGGTGAGGAGACCCACAGGATCATGGGAGCAGAGGTCTGCTTGGTTGTGCCTACTCAGTGTGCTGTGCTTGTCATCCTGGTTTGTGGCCTCAGGCAAGTTATTCAGCTCCTTGGGACTTGGTTTTCCTGCTTGTGAAAATGGGGCTTATATTTACTTGGACATTGAGATAACGTATGAAGTTCAGCAACTTGGTCAGATTTTATTTACTTCGGTTTTTTTGATATAGTGATCGAATTGCTTTCCAACACTCTGCATTGTTTTATTTTGTTCTTTCCCGATTTTATTTTGAAATAATTATAGATTCATAGGACATTGCACAGAAATATAAAGGGAATTCCTGTGCTCCCATCCCCCCCCCCCCCAAATCTTACCCAACTATAGTACAAAACAACTCCAGGAAATTGACATTTGCTGCAATCCATAGAGCTATTCAGATTTTAAATGCGGTCATTATGTGCATTATGTGAGTGTGTATTTATCTGTAATGCTGTGAATCTCTTCACATGAATAGCTTTGTGAAATCACAGTCACATCAAGGAACTCATTTGTAACACCACCACCAGCTTCCCTTGCATTACCCCTTTAGAGTCACTCCCATCTTCTCCATCCATCCCTAAATTCAGGCAACCACCAATCTGGTGTCAATCTCTATAATTTTATCATTTCAAGAATGTTATATAAATGGGTTCACATTTTATAGAATCTTTTGGGTTTGGTTGACTTTTCCCTCAGCTTTATTCCCAGTTTTATCCCAGTTGTTTATGAGCAGTAGCTCATTCCTTTTTCTTGCTGAGTGTGTTCCATGGTATGCATGAACCATAGTTTATCTTACTTCCCTGTTGAAAGATAACAGGTTGTTTCCAGTGTGGGGCAACAGTGAATAGAAATGCTATCCACGCACAAGTTCTCATGTGAAAATAAGTCTTCATTTCTCTGGAATAAATGCCTAAAAAATACAATTGCTGGGTTGCATAAGAGTCCATTTGTTAAATTTATTTTTACAGTTCCCTTGGCAGGTGATTCTGGTTATCTTTTTAGGAACTGATATAATATGAGTAACCTGAAAAGGAAAGCATGTTGAATCACTGTACAGGCTATGGCAAAAGCTGTGCCTGTGCACATGGACATGTGAAGTGTGGAGAAAGGTGATCACCCATGATTAATCACAAGGTGTGTGCAGGCACAACACAGAGGTGACACTTTCCCTCAGCTGGGTAGGAAATGTTCATTCTTAATAGTAATCGAGAACAATGAATACTTTCAGTAAGGGACAACTATTAATAGCAATACTATCACTAATAAGTAAAGATTTCAGCTAGGGTAATTTCTGAGACTGTTAACAAAATTGTTATAAGAAGTTAAGTAATAAGTACTTAAGAAGAAATGAGGAAAATGATTGTTTTGCCCTAAAAATTATTTGCAGTCTTTTTTGGGGGGTGTTCCTTCTTGGTAAATTCTTGTAACTTTATAAGAGATGACTTCCATTGTATGTAAACTTCCCAAAATATAAAAAAGATGAAAAGCCACAGTCTATATAGAGGAAGCATCACATTGAAATAGCACAGAAAATACTAATTTTGCTAATATAGGGATAGTTTGTAGGTGTACTCATGTATCAAAACAAAAGTCAGCTGGTGACTTGGCCTTCTTTCCCACTTCAGTCACTCTGCAGAGTTATTTTAAGATTCATCCATGTGGTTGTGTGTATCAGTAGGTGACTCTCTTTTATTACTGTGTTGCTTTCCTCTCTAAGGACAAACCTTGGTTTATTTATCCCTTCACCTGCTGAAGGACATGTGCATTGTTTCTTTGTTTGCATGCTGTGAGTAAAGCTGACATGAACATTTCTGAGCAAGTCTTTGTGGGGACATATACTTTGCTTTCTCTTAAGGCATAGAATTGAAAGCTTCCAATAGGGCAAAGATTTTGGCAGGCTCTGAAAGGGTATGTGAACAAAGTATAGGAGAGATACAGGTGTGGCCAAGGGTGGCTGAAGTAGTACCCAGGCACAAGCTTTGTATCAGGCATTGGTGGTCATGCATTGATTGTGGCTTATTTCCTCAGAATAAAGTTATGAATCCTTCTAGATCTCTTGGAACCTCTCACATAATACCCAGTCTTCTACTTTTGGTGGCTGTTCAATGTCTAGGCTGCTCCTTTCTCTATCAAGAATATAAAGATGGTCATGGCAACTTTGTGAACCTAGTGCTAGGACCTAATGCATTTCATGTGCATTATTGTGGATAATAATTCTATGACCTCCACAAAGTAGGTACTGTTTTTATCCCCACAATGCAGGGAGGAAACCAAGGCTCAGAGATGTTAAGTAACTTGCCTAAGATTGCACAGCTAATAAATAGAATATTGGACCAACTCATCTCACTTCAGAATTGCTGCCTTAACCACAATATTGTTCCTTTAACCACAATATAGTTCACTTTTCCTCAGTAAAAGGGTAGCTTGTGTGTGGATTTTGTCATTTTATTTTATTTTTTAAAGATTTATGTTATTTATACAAGAACTGAGGTACAGACCAGAGGCTTGGGAGGGTGAGAGAACTCATCAGAGACAGAGCAGGAAGCAGAACAGGCAGGTGGACCGAAAACACTGCTGAGGGGAGCGGTGGGCAAGACAAGAGAGGTCTGCCCAGCCGTGTGGGTATCTCCCTGGCCAGCCGGGAAATGGAACCCACTCCGCAGAGGCTGCAGACAGCTTCACAGCGCTGTGCTCAACTCACTACACCACTGGGGGGGCCCTGGAATTTGTGTTTTAAACTATTTCCTCATATTGTCTAGTTAACTCCTGTGTTCCTAACAGTGTTTCCCTGGTCACCCAGACTAGGTCAGATCACCTGTACCAGGTACCTTTCTCCCAACTTTGTGCCTTCTCCACAGCTAAGAACCCAGCATGAATGCAGACCCCACCCTTTGCTACCCACTGTCTGAAGAGTGCGGTACATATAAACAGAAACTCTTTGGGATCTTCAATTTTTCAGTTGTAGACAGGCCCCTTAGTCCAAGAAGTTTGAGAATCTCTGAGCAAGGAACATTTTTGAAAGGGGATTGGGAATAGGATGAGCAACTTATAGAGCTGGTTAGAGGCTGGAAGAGGGTCTTGAGACCCTGTATGACCATTTGGCCTGAGGTACCTCATCAGGTGGTGCCAGAGGGGGTGTGGGCAGAAATGCAAGGACTGCAGTGAGGGCGGGCTGTGATAGCCACAGTTGTGTTCTCAACCCCCTGTTCCCTCCCAGGACCTGGTCGGGCAGTTTCTGTTGTTATCCATGCTTCCTACAAGAAGTTCATGGGCAGCCCACACCTGGGCCGGCTTGCAGGAAGTGATAGGATACCAAAGATTCTGCTCTTCTGAGATGAGGTTGCAACTATGATCTGATGGCAGGTTGGGCCCTTTCTGAGCATATGTCTGTCCTGTGTTCTGATCCCAGGGTGAATACAGGAAATCATCAGGACAGTTTCTCTGACTTTCAGGGGGGAAATTTATACGCCCACCCCCTAGCAGAATTCTAAGCTCAAATTAGGACTGTTAGAATAATTCTTTTAACAAAAGCGGGTGTGAGACTTCTTACTTGCATTATTCTTGTGGGAATAGGTAACATATAAGTCTTGATTAGTTATTTTGATAATGCTGTTAATAAACTATAACAAAGTTGTACCTCCTGCCTTTGACCTGTAAATTGCTTTTCTCTTGCAGGCGAAAGGGCCTGTGGTTCCGACTGAGGAAGATACTTCTTTTTGTTTTGGGGTTGTACATTGCCATTCCATTTCTCATCAAACTATGTCCTGGGATACAGGCCAAACTGATTTTCTTGAATTTTGGTAAGTGCTATATATCCATTTTTCCTTTAATTTTAGTAAGAGCTTATTTTCAATTACGCAGAAAGTTCCCTGTGTCCCTTCCCAATTAAAGGGTGTTTATAAAGAGGGTGAGGCTGTCCAGGGACTACAGTTGTGTGTGCACTGGTAACCACTACATGCCTGGGAATCTTTCTGTAGCTGAGGTAGATAAAAATGTTGATCACATTGAGGGTTTCCTGAAGTTGATGTGTTGGAGCTGCATTGTCACTTGTGCAATCTAAAATTTAAAATTTAGTCAGTTGTTTCTGAGTTCCTGAATGGAAGCAATTAAAGACTTAACATGCAAACTCAGACACTGAGATGACTGCAGAGCCAGTGCTAATACAGTCCTTGGGTCTGGAGCCCTGGGATGTGCCTGCCCTAGTAGTGCCACCAACCCCATGATCTTCGGAAAAGTTCAAACCCCTGAAAAATATGATTCTCTCCCCACCTCGCTTTTTAAATAATTAGGACTCTTTAAAAAAAAAAAAAAATGAGATATTTTTTCTCTTAAGCCCTAATGTAGTTTGATTTCTGTGGGTTGTATGGTGGGTTTTTTTTTTTTTTTTTTAAAGATTTATTTGTTTTTGCATACAAGAGCTGGGGTACAGGCCAGAGATGATGAGGGTGAGAGGATTCACCAGAGACAGAGTGGGGAACAGAACAGGCAGAGTGACTGACATACACTGCTGAAGGGAATAGTGGGCAAGTCAGGAGAGGTCTGCTGCGCCATGTGGGTTGCTCCCTGGCCAGCTGAGGAGCAAACTTGTGCTGCAGAGGCTGCAGATTGCCTCATAGTGCAGGCTTAACCCTTTGCGTAACCAGGGAGGCCCTGTATGGTGGTTTTATAGGTGTAATCTCTTTGAGTTAACTTGGACCTCATGTGTTTCAAAGTTGTTTTCTTTTTTCATGTTATAAATTTACTTTCGGGCATTTGGGAGGAGAAAGGTGCAAAAGCATCAAACTTAGGAGACAGAAAGCATGTGGCTGCTGGGAATCAGCATTTCAGGGAGCATCATTTTACACCTACTCTGTGAGACTAGGAGGGGATCATCTCTGCAGATGAGAGGTCTGAGGATAGAGCACACAACAGGTACTCCATAAATGATGGCTTCAGATCTACATGGTAGCATTGGAGCCAAGTGAGGTGGGCCCTGTGCATGCACTGTGGCTATGATGGTTTGCAAAGAGTGGGTTTGGAAGCTAGAGGCATGTGGGAAGCTGTGACCACTGCTTTTGGAGGCCCCAGGAGAGCTGGTAGAAAGGTGGTAGGATGAGGACCCTGAGGACCAGGGAGAGGACAAACAAGGGAGTTGAGAAGGTCCATGTGGACTCTGCATGGGGTTGGTGGCACTGCTAGGGCAGGCACATCCCGGGGCTTAAGACCCATGGCCTGTAGTATCACAGGCTCTGCAGGCATCTGGGTGTCTGAGTTTGCATGTTAAGTCTTCAATAGATTCCATTCAGGAACTCAGAAACAACTGACTAAAATGGAGTATCTGTTCTAAGGAGGAATAGTAGGAGGAAGAACAGAAATGGTAAGGTTACTATTTAATAGTAAATAAATCTAAAGTATGTTTTTTATTTGGGTGTCTGAAGATAACTATAAAATACATAGTATATATGCTAAGTAAGAGACATTTGATTTTTCTAACAGAAACACAGCTGACATTCTAGAAATTTTAAGTTTTTTCACTGTGAAAAGCACAGACTTAAGCAGAGCTAACATACTAAAATCAAAGGAGTTTTATTTTTCTGACTTTAATGTCCACTATATGTCCTTAATCAGTCCAGAACAGCAGAGATTGAGTTTACATATAAGCAGACAGCTACCCAGTGGCAGACCTTAGAGCAGACCATGTGCAACTTTCCTAACTTTGCAGACCTCCAGGAACCTAGGCAGGTGCCTCTGCAGCAGCATGTGATTGTCATTTTCTGGGACCTGTCACATAGTGGGGTCCCAGCAAATACTGGAATTGAATTTTTTTTTTTTTTTCAGATCAATTATTTCAGGCTACTTTAGACACAGCCTACAGGATTCCTAATGAAATGCAGGGTTTTCCACAGGAGCAAACATTGAGTTTTCCCACTCCAGCCCCTGTGGCGCAGATGAGAAATCTAGGCTTGAGCAGTGGGACCACCCTGGGCACCCAAGGAGATGCCTGTCCTTAACTCTTTTCCTTCCTGTGTCTACTGCGCAGAAGCAGGGTAGTCTGCCATAGTGTTTTTAGTCTGCCACTAAAAAGAACATTTTTTTTCTTTTTTTTTTTTATAATAAATTTTATTTTTATATTCCCCATACAATTTCAACCCCCCCATTTTGACCCCAATCCCTCACCTCTCTCCACCCCCCCCCCAAAGTGTCTCTGGTTCATAGATTTTTGTTGATTTTGATTTTCACTTTCTTATAGTTATTCATTTTCCTGGTCCCTTATTTAAGTTTTCTAGATTCCTGCTATGAGTGAGACCATCCGGTATTTTTCTTTTTCTTTCTGGCTTATTTCGCTGAGCATGATCCCTTCCAGTGCCATCCATGTTGCTGCAAATTGCATGTGTTTATCTTTTTTGAATGCTGAGTAATATTCCATGGTGTATATGTACCACATCTTCTTGATCCAGTCATCTATTTTTGGGCATTTGGGCTGTTTCCAAAGCTTAGCTATTGTAAATAGTGCTGCTATAAACATAGGGGTGCAGGTGTTCTTTGGAATGGATGTTTCTGTGTCCTTTGGGTAAATACCTAGGAGTGGAATTGCTGGATCATATGGAAGCTCTATGTTTAGTAGGTCCAGAAATCTCCACACAGCTCTCCATAGTGGTTGGACCAGTTTGCACTCCCACCAACAGTGCAGAAGAGTTCCTTAAAAAGAACATTTTTTTAGTCAGTTGTCTGTGGAGGTCATGGGGGTCTCCAGCATCTCTTGTACTGACTGGGCAATTTCTCTTTTTTTTTAAAGATTTATTTATTTATTCATACAAGAACTGGGGTACAGGCCAGAGGTGTAGGGGGTGAGAGGATTCACCAGAGACAGGGTGGGAAACAGAACAGGCAGGTTGACTGAAATACACTGCAGAGGGGAGCAGCGGGCGAGTCCGGAGAGGTCTGCTGCACCATGTGGGTAGCTCCCTGGCGGGGGATCAAACTCGTGCTGCAATGGCTGCGGATAGCTTCATAGGTTGCATCTTAACCCCTTGCGCCACCAGAGAGGCCCCCTGACTGGGCAATTTCACCTTATGCTTTTGGAACACCTGCATATTGTGTAGTTGCTTTTTTATTGTCTCCTCAAGATGTGAATCATGAGCCTGTGGTTTTCCATTTGGACATTAAAGGAAATGTAGCAATATTTGGGTCACAAAAAACAATTAAATTATTCTTAAGTGAATAGCAAATGTATTTGAAAAAAATTATAAATAAGTTTCAGAATAAGCATAGCTCATATGATATAAGGCATTATTTTCCTTCAAATATATTTTCAAAAGCAAAAAAGAGAGGACCATTCTGTCTGAAAACAAAAGGCTAACTGTAAGACTCTGAATGCCATGAAGAAGAAAGTGGAAATTGTTCTGAGGAAATCATTGTTAGTGTGGTCTATTTCCCGCTGGTCTTTTTGTCCGAGTCTGCACACATAAACATAAATATATATGCTTTTCAATACATTCAAAAGTCTGAATTTCATCCTGGCAATGTTGGGGTGATGTACAGCATTTTGTGATCTTGAAGTCTAGATATATTCTCAACAGTAATTCTGCCTTTCTATTTAGAACACATACAGAACCACTTTTCTCTGCACATTGCCTTGGGCCTCTTTTGGAAACAGGTTTGATATGTGAGTTATATATTTGCTTCTAAAGCAAAAGACCAGGGCCTCCCTGGAGGCACAAGGGGTTAAGACACAACCTGTGAAGCTGTCCGCAGCCACTGCAGCACAAGTTCAATCCTCAGCCAGCCAGGGAGCTACCCACATGGCAGACCTCTCCTGATTCGCCTGCTTCTCCCCTCAACAGTGTATTTTAGTTGATCTGTCTGTTTTCTTCCCCACTCTGTCTCTGGCGAATCCTCTCACCCCCCATACCTCTGGCCTGTACCCCAGTTCTTGTATGCATAAATAAATAAATATTAAAAAATAAAAAGCAAAAGACTAGCCGAATACCCGGAACAATAGCTCTTAGACCTCCTCTTTTTACCTCCCTTTAGCAGTCACTGAGAACTTTCTTTTTTCACCTCTTTTACTGTTATGGAAGAAGGGGGTGATGGTGCACGGGTGCCTTGGGAAAGGAAATTCTATTGGGACTCAACTTGAGGGGGTGAGGGGAAGCAAATATTGTTTAAAAAAAATAAAAACAGGGCCTCCCCTGGTGGCGCAGCAGTAGAGTGCTGGGCTGAGAAGCTGCCCTCAGCCTCCACAGTGCCGTTTCGATCCCTGGCCACCGGCGAGAGTCCCACATGGCGCGCAGACCTTTCCTGCTGTGCCTGCTGCTCCCCTCAGCAGTGTATTTCAGTACATCTGCCTGTTCTGCTCCCTGCTCTGGCTCTGGTGAATCCTCTCACCCTCCCATGCTTCTGACTGTACCCAGTGCTTATATAAATAAATAAATAAATCTTTAAAAAATAAAAACAAATTCATGAGCAAAAAAAAAGGGGGGGGGGCTATGTAATCATGGAGTTGGAGGTGATAAAACCCAGAGAGCCCTCCTACCCCTTCTTTTTGGTGGCGACATGTCTCTTCCAGCAGTGTTAGAGTGTGCTTTGCTCAGTGCCTGGGATGAGGTGTTATTGCATATTTAGAATCCTCAGGTAGTCCAAAGGTTCTAAGGTATTTCAGCCTCTCAACTATCAGGTATTTTCCAGATTAGCTATAAAATGGATGATGAGTGCATTGTTTCCTATTTATTCAGTCCCATTTATTGATTCACTGTTATTTATTGAGTACCATTTGTGCAGGATTCTTTCTAAATCATGCCCACTGATATTTGTTGTTGCTGGCCAGAGAGCAGATAATGAAAAACTGGGGAAAAAGCAGCCAGAAGCCTGAGTCTTGTAGCTCAATGATCCTCATTGGCCTGTGGGCAGGGTGCCCTTGAGTTGAGTTGCCAGGGTGTCCCAGTCAAGTGCTGATTGAGACAGAACTTGTCAAAGGGAGCAGTAAGGAGCTGGATCACTCTTGGGCTCCTGCCCCTGCAACCTGCCTTCAGCCCTGTGGATAAAGCAGGGGCTTAAGAAGGTGAACTTCTGGCAGTATAAGAGTTACCAGAGCCAAAACACATGACCACACAGGAGATCAGATAGCTCTAGTACCCACCTGTTACTGGCCAAGAGGAGTGAGCCTCAAGCCAGCCCTTGACCCCATTCCTTGGCTTTGTAGCATTTCTTCTCACATCAGTGGTGGCCAGTGGCTCCTCTGGCTACTGCTCTCTGGGGCTCTCTGACCCCCAGGACTAACCAGGACCCTCCCACTAGTTGGAGGGGCCTCCAGCGGGTTCTGGATTTGGCATATTCACTGCCTCCTTTTCACTGTTCCAAAAACAGAAATAAAAGTGAATTGAAGGGTCTCCTCTGGTGGCGCAGGCAGTTGAGCACAGTGCTGTGAAGCTGTCCACAGCCTCTGCAGCACCAGTTCGATCCCAGCCAGCCGGCGAGGGTCCCACTTGGCATGGCAGGCCTCTCCTGTCTCACCCGCTGCTCCCCTCAGCAGTGTATTTCATCGGTCTGCCTGTTCTGTCTCTGGTGAATCCTCTCACCCTCCCACGCATCTGACCTGAACCCCGGTTCTTGTATAAATAAATAAGTAAATAAATAAATAAATCCTAAAAAATAAATAAATAAAAGTGAATTGGAAGCCAAGCTTCATGAGATGATGCAATCCTCAGGTAGAATCTGGTTTTTCAGTTCCTAGATTTCTCGACCTCGTAAGTTTTTGAATTAGCTGCTTATCTTCATAAAACACTTTCAAGTCAATAGGGAACGCTGAGGTAATTTGTAAGCAGCTTGGCCACCTCTGTCTGCACATAACCATCTGAGGCCCGGAAGCTGAGGCAGCAGAAACCAAGTGCCCTCAACCCACTTTTTGTTTGGTATGGTATCTGGGAGCCAGTAATTTCAGCCCCAGAAGCAGAATTGATAGATCTGAGTGGGGGGTTAACAAAGGGCATGGGGTGTGGGTATTCAGAGAGTTGTGAGCTGGCACACCAAGCTGCAGCCTTCACTTTCTGCAGTGTGAACAGCCACAGGATGGAGGTTGCAGCAGTAGGCATCTGTGTCTGAAATAGCACGTGAAAGGAGGTCCTTTCAGAAACCTATGGCCTGTTGCCAGGGTAAAAATTAGAACTTCATAGTGTATAGCTGCATTCATTCCCAGGGCAGCCAAAACACCAACTGGGTGACTTAGGATAACAAAGATGCATTCTTTCCCACTTCTGGAGGATGGAAATCTGAAATTTCCAGCAGGGTTGTGCTCCCTCTGAGACCCCTTTCTTGCCTCTTCTCAGCCCCTAGTGGTGGCCAGCAATCTCTGGTTTTCCTTGCTTGTTGTCATACCACTCCAGTCACTGCCTCTGTTGTCACGTCTTATCACAGCATCTTCACGTTGTGTTCCGCTGTCCTGTTTCTGTTCTAGTGTCCCCTTTTGATGAGGAGACCAGTCATTTTGAATGAAGGCCCACCTTAATGACTTCACTTAAGCTTGATCAACTCAGTAAAGACTCTATTTCCAAATAAGGTGATGGGGGTTAGGACCTCAGTGTATTTTTTTTTTTTTTTTGAGGACATAATTCTGTAATAGGGACATTCAGGGTCTGTTGGAATTAGAACCAGTTTACCTTTCTCCCTTCATGTCTGATTTGTCAAGAGTATGGGCTATGGAGTCAGGCTGCCTGGGTACAAGTCCTAGTCCTGTCACAGGAGCTATGACTTCACAAGAGCTCTGAAGAGGCAGTACACCAGCCTTTGGGATGGGGTGTGAGTTCCAAGAGGCTCTGCAAGGAGGGCAGTTAGTGCAATGCCAAATTGGTAGGAACAGCAGAAAATGTGATGCCACCTCCTTTTATTGCCACTTTTCTTTTGAAGAAAATGATTCTTAAAGTTTTAAAACTTCAGGTGGCTTCTTGGGGAAGAACTGGTTTAAGTAGCTGGAGATATGAACAGCCACTGTGGTAGGAGGATTTGTCTTCCTGAATGTTCTGACCTCTTAGACGATTTCTGGGCGGGGGAGGGTGGGGGAGGATGTGTACATCCCATGTCTTCATGCACCAGGTATTTCATTTCTTCAGCATATGTTCACTGAGCCCTGGTTACATTTAAGGACATGAAAGCTAGATGCTTGGGATTGGGGGCTGGTGTGGAGGGGGCTGTTCCTCTTGTGGAGGAACAAATGGAGTCAATCCCCTGGGTGGGAGGTCGATGCTTGTGGCTCAGGAAGAAGACCGCAGTGGGAGATGAACACACTGGGCTTTCATTTCATGCCATGTGGATGTATGAGGTTATTTAATGAAACCATTCTTCACCAAAGAAAACCCGAAACAGGTGTGTGGCTTTTATAGAAGATGGGATCAGTTCTTTGTCAGTGTCCCCTTTAGGAGTTGCCATTTTATAAAGTGGGTAAATTCCACCTCAAGGTTTTGGATATTTTAAAAACATTTCCTAGTTTTTAAGCAAATATATATTTTTATAAAAGTGTGTCCAACACAAGCACTAAGAGTACAGTGATATAGATGGGAAAAATTAATCATCAACCCCCGCCTCCTCCCCCCACACCCCGCTGTTCAAACCCACATACATGTGTGTCTTTCTGAGCCACACATGGGTGGTGGTGGTGATGTTGATGTTGAATGTCATTTTACTTGTTTTTTACAATAACAAAATGGGATTGTACAACACAGGGTAATCTTATGCTTGTTCCCTGCCTTGTCACCTACCTGTAATTCACTGTGTTGACAACCTATAATTCCTCCAGGTCCATGGATCTTCTTGGCTCTCTAATGGCCTCAGGATTTTTCAAAATGTGGGTGCACCAGTTTATTCAGTAATTGCCCTATTGGCAGATTTCTTGTTAAATTTAGGGCTGAGTTATATTGTTCCACTTGACTTCACTCAACTCTGGAGGGGTTCTGTGAATTCATCCATTCCTTGCACCCACATCTCACATTCAGCTCTTAAGTGACAACACTAGAAACTTCAGAATCCCATTTAACTGGCTCATATCCACATTCCTTTGGTCCTGTGGCACCCTCCAACTCCAAAACCCATGTCTGTCTGTCACCTTTCCCATTGTTCCTGCCACTAGCAACCTGGCTGCTTCCATTGACCTGGCTAGCCTCCTGATCGCTACCCTCACTAGTTCTCAGGCCTCTCAAGGATACTTTCTCTCTCACTAGCATCTTTTCACACCTTAAACACCTTTTAGGAGGTGCTGTCTCTACTCGGACCTTACCCTTGCTGGAGGTTCTGTTGGGGCACAGTGTGCCAGCACAGCCTCTCCCACCTCACCTGGGCCTAGAAGGCCTGGCTCATAGCAATGATGAACTGGAACATACTTGGCACTTTTTGAGAGTTTCTTCTCGGCTCTGCTGTGTGCATGTGTGTGTTTGTGCGAGCATATGTGTAGATGTGGATGTGTATGACCATCCACACTCACTAATCCCAATTTCTGTCTCTTGGTTCCCCTCAGTGAGGGTTCCCTATTTCATCGACTTGAAAAAACCGCAGGATCAAGGTTTGAATCACACCTGTAACTACTACCTCCAGCCAGAGGAAGACGTAACCATTGGAGTCTGGTGAGTGCCACCTGTGTGGTAGCAGGAGGACATTCTGCCTAGTGGGCCCCTGTTACCCTTGACAGCAGTGTCTGTGTCTCAGGCATTTCACTTGTTCATTTTTATCTGTCCTGCTTTGTTTCCAAAGGAAGATCTCAGCTAAATTTGATCCTAGTGGAGCACAGTGAGATGGCACAAAACTTTAAGGTTTTCAGACAGTGAAGTCTTTGTGAACCAGATTATTTTCTGGAGAACCTTATTTCTATGAAAGCAACAACGCTAGAAAATAAGTGATGTTTATTGACAGGCATCATTTGGGAATAGTGGTGTTTGCTATTTACCTTTTTAGCTTTGCATTTAAGCTCCATGACTTTGTGTCTCTTTGGAATATGTCTTATTTTTTTTTTTTTTTTTTTTTTTTGGTGGCAAATTGGGTGTTTCTGAACATCTGAGTGAAACTTTCTATGGTATTTTCTCTTCTCTCAGAAGCAGCTTTGAGTCATTGCCCCTCTATCTAGTTGGGTTTCTCTTTTCAGTAGCCATAAAGTGTTTGCTGTCTCAGAAAACTGCTGCGTACGTGAGAAGTTTCTAAATGAAGTGTTGTGAGTAGCTTCCCAGTGAGTTGTGAGGATGTTCAGGCATTTCTAATAACGTGCCTGGATGAAGAACAAAATGAGAAGGGAGATTTTTGTTCTTAGGCATTGATGCTAGGATTAGTCTTTTGTTAATTTCTAATTTGGTCAGTGTGTGTGTGGCTGTCACTTTGCTTTTCCATCTTCAGCAGGAGCTTGATGTGTTTTGCTCAAAGCTCAGAGCTATTTGGTGGGAATTGCTTGAGTCTCCTGCTGGGTGCTAATGGGGGTCTATTCTTTGAAGACTTGGTGAGGGTGGGAGTGGAGTTTAGTCTGGACTTCTCCAGTCCTTCTGAGGGAGGGATATTCGTGCTGCTGATACTTAGGCTGAAAACTCTCATAGGAGTTACCCAAGAAAATTGTTTGGCAACAATGGAGGGTCTCCAGGAAGTGACAGCCACACTGTGTGCTAGTGGTGCCAGCTGCCTGCCATGTCTGTACCTTGTGCTGTTGTGGCACCCTTGGGTGGCAGCAGGCCCCTTTTACCAGCAGTATCTTATCCTTAGTACCCACAGGAAGGAAGCCCAAGGGCATGACTGGCATTACCTCCTTCTTAACTACCTCTCTGTGGCATAAGTTCTCACCTGACAGGGGAGAAGGGAACTCAGGAATAGGGTCCATCCCCCTGGAGCTTCCTAGGCTTTTGTCAGTATCCCTGAGTTTGGGGTAGGCTGGTTATTGTAATTCATCTTGTCTTATAATGTAGGAGAGTGGTCATTGCAGGGGTCTGATCCACCCAGAGTGTGATTCTCTGGAATGGGTTAGAGACATTAGAAATAAGTTGCTGACATTAAGAACTAGGAAATAGGATACTGGTTATTTAATACTTTTAAATTTCTTTCAACTAAATTTGGGTAAGTTTTACAGATAAGCCTTATTAAATCAGACCTTCCTTGGCAGTTAACAGTATTTGATTTGGCCTGAGTTAAGATTAGCTGGAGAATCTGACTGACAGAGGATTTGGCCAGATAGACCAAGAGTCCTTGTGGCCAGCCAGGTGTGGATGAGCTGCCTTCCCTGTCAGCTCCCTCCACAAACCTGCATTTGCCTGCAGAAATGAGTGCTCCATTGGTGAACGTGCTGGGCATTAGAAACAGCACTTTAAGGATAGCTATGCTTCTAGCTCAGCTTAGAAAGGTCAGTGTTGCTGCATTGGGACATGACAGTCTGGTATTCTCTTAAATACTTTGTGAATTGAGCTATGTGCAGCTTCAAAACATAAGGGGAAATGATATTACTCAGCTAGTATTTATTAAATGCTCATTTTGTGCTAGGCCCAGGTGAATCTGGTGACCTATCCAGATGGTATCCTACCTCAGAGCTTGCAGTTCTATGGGAACAACATCTGTCGCTTCTTCCCTGGTCACTGCTACCAGTCCCAGTTTCTGTGGCCCAGAAGAGGTCCATTTGCAAGTCAGGAGACATTCCTGCTTACACTGTCAGACCTGTCCCTAACGGGGGCGACGAGGGGGGCAAAAGGGGGGGCGGGGGAGGGGTGGTGTTGTCCATAGTTAGTGATTCTGTGACAAAGATAGTTTGTTTGCCTCCCTGGCCACCCAATCTGCTGTCTGCCCAGGTGTGACTTGAGTTGTAGAATCTTTCCATTTGTGGTCATTGTATCTGATTGTGCTGCTCTCCCTGCTCTGTTTCTAGGCATACAGTCCCCACTGTCTGGTGGAAGAATGCCCAAGGGAAGGACCAGATGTGGTACGAGGATGCCTTGGCTTCCAGCCACCCTATCATCCTGTACCTGCATGGGAACGCAGGCACCAGGTGAGGAAGGGAACGCCCTTGGCGAGTCTTCCCTGCAGACTCACTTGAGATGTGAGGGAGTATCTTGGTCCAGTCGAGTTTACTGACCCACTGCCAAGAGGGAACATGCTCCTGGTGGGGTCCTGGGGCATCCTGAGGACAAAGGACAAGGTAGAGTGTAGGGAAGGGGGGGTCTAACTGAACCTCACAGGAAGCTCAGAGCAAAGCAGCCTGGGTGAAGGGGACGACCTCGTGTCCTTGGAACCATAGCCTTAAGCAGATGCAGGAGACTGTGTCCGCACCCCCTGATCTGAAGCTCACATGTGAGGAGGAGTGGAGGAGGCAGTGGGCAATGTCTGTCACAGTGACCCGGATAACCAACTTGGAGGGCAGGGGGTTGTCCTCCCTGACCCAATTTAATTTAAGGGGCAAAGGGGCTGAGGGCCCGTTAATTTAAAGGACAGGGTTTCTCAGGAAGGAAGGGGTGGTCCCTCAGAGAAGGGGTCCTAGTGACACTTGAGGGCAGAGCATGCCCTAAGGAGAGGCGCTCCTGTTCATAGCAGCATCTGTCATCCCAGCCTGAGCATTGCAGACAAATTGGCTCTTTGCCACAGAGGTGCTTGCACTGGCAGGCATGCCCAGTTAGAGGAGGGGACATACTTTCTGGCAAGGGCGAGAGAGTGCCAAGAAAGGGTAGGTGACATGGAAGGATGCATGGCCCAGGGCAGAAGGAGGCCAGCTGGGAGGCTCTAGTGAGCAGGCATGGGCAAACTCATCTACTACAGTCTGGTAGGGTAATGAGTTAGCTCTCTGCTGCCAGCTGTAAGCCCTGGAATCTAAGATGTAAGCCAGTGCTGCCTTCCCAGATGCTTTTCATGAGTGGGTCTAATTGCATGTCCTTCGGACGAGCTGGAGTGGAGCTACCATCCTTGGTATAAAGACAGCTCCTTCACCCTACATGATCACTTTGTTAGAGCTGACAGAGTGAGGGGAGGTGGTGCATTTTCTGAACAAAGCATTGCCAGAAAACCCTGGAGGGTCACTATTGCTGCAACTTCTGTTAGTCTCTTGAGAAAGCCAGCAAGGAGCTGGCATGGGGCAGGATCACCATGGGGCTGGGGTCAGGATGGCACCTTGGCCATGGTAGTGGACTTTGAGGGGGGATTGTCATTTTGTAGGAATAACCAGCAAGGAGAACAATGCACAGACCTTTCTGGAGGGGAAATTGGGCTCAGTGGGTATCTGGGCAGAAGAGCTGCACGGAGGGCATAACAGGAAGTCCAGGAAGCTTGGCCACGAGGAGAGGTTCTGAGCCAAGAGGACAGAGTGCTCAGCTGCTGAATCTTGCTTATGCCTTGTAACTTGCTGCCTTTATTTGGGACAAGCTACAGCAGGTTTCTCTTCTGCTTTTCATAGAGCAAGTAACGGCAAATAGCTCTCATAGCATCTTTCTATACATGAGAAATTTTGTTGTTTACTCTGAGTAAAGTTCAGTTAAACTGTGCCGAAAATCTTAGTAGAAAAGACATCATCTGCCTGCAAGTTCAGACTTGAAGGAATATTGTCACTTTGGAAGATTTGTTGCTCCCACAGAAATGGACTTGTAGCTCTCTGGTCACCCCTGAAACTCCTGCTTTTCTATCTTTACCTGCCAGTATGCACCATCTCTCATGGCCTCACCTCTGCTCTCTGACCAGATTTTAGCTTCATCCCTGCTGTCTGACCAGTCTAGAGTTTCACCCCTGCCCTGACTACCCTGTGGCCCCACTCCTGCACTCTGACCAGACTGCTCTTTGCCGCTGCTCTCTGACTAGGCTGTAGTCCTACCCCTGCTCCCTAACCAGCACGCTTGTTGCCTCACCCCTGCTCTCTGGCCAGTCTGCAGCCTCACCCCAGTTCTCTGACCAGACTGTGGTCTAGAAGAGTTGTGGCTTCCCTTGCTCCCGAGATTCAGATCCCTGGGCTGCTGCCACATATTGTTATGCTCTAAATTTCCCTTTTTGCTCAAGGTAGGGAATTTTGAAAATTTGGAGAAGGGCTACCAAGAATTCTTCTAAAGCAGTGGAAAATATTTTATAGTATTTCCCTCTGGGCTTGAAACTCATTCCTTTGTGTTCTTGTTTCTGCAATATATCACTTTTCCAACCACACTCCCCCACACATGCATGTGTGCACTCACATTTGACAAAATGGTCAAAATGCTTATTACAAAAAGGAGAACAGCTGAGAAGCCTGAATAGGGGAAGTCTGCCCCGCTCTGGTGTTTGGGCTAACAGCTGACCAACAACTGGACTGATGTGGGAGGAAGGGCTAGATGGTCCTCAGACAGAGAAGTCTAGACATGTGACACAGTTCAGATGTGTGCAGGCCTCTCCCCTCAGTGGCAAGGACTAACACCCCAGCCTGTTGTGTGGGGTTGGGAAAAACACTGTCTCTCACACTCCTGGTGAAAAGTAAGCCCCTCCCCCCCCCCCCGAAAAAGGCAAATGTGAAAGGGCGTCTGTGCAGGCTTTCTCATGGCAGCAGGATTTACATTGGGAAGGGACCGACTGGCCTTGGGATAAGGACAGAGACCTGCCGCAGAAGAGTGTACTGAGTGTACTGAATGTACTGAATGTTGATGTCATTTATTGAGTGAAACATGAGAGGCAGGGAGTGCCTGTGGCAGCTCCCCATAGGTGTGGAGGTTTGCACAGGTAAAGAAGGTCCTTCCTTATGTCTATACAGGTGGTCCCTGGACCCTGGGAAGCTGAGGGAGGGGCCAGATTGAGGCAGCAGTGGGTAGGGCTTGCTGTTCATCCTTCATGTTTTCTGGTATTTGTACTGTAGGTGTGCATATATAATTAAAATAAAAGTAAGATAACGAGAAATGTCCCCAAAATGATAAGACTGGCCCTCACTTGGCATCATTCTACCAGAGGCAAGCTGGGGACACTTCAGCTATCCTAAGGGTGAGGTCGAACCTCCCTAGTTGGAGGTCACTAAGGGCCCAGGCGCTCCCATAATGACCCTGGTACCTGCCTGGTTGAAAGGACCCACTAACGTCGTTTTTGTTTCCTTCTCATTGGTGCTCTAGAGGAGGCGACCACCGGGTGGAGCTTTACAAGGTCAGTGAGTTCGGCACCCAGGGAGCAGAGTGCGTGGGTGGTGGGCAGAGCGGTGCTGGCATGTGTGTGGCAGGCAGAGCAGAGACCACACTTGTGTGATGGGTTCCGCAGGGCCCACATAGAGGACATAGGACAGAATGTTGCCTGTGTGTTCTTTCCAGGAGTCTTGAACAGAAGGGTGTCCCCTAAAGATTTTGGGAGGGAATCATCATTGCTCATTCCAACACTGCCTTTTGTAGAAGGCTTGATCGTGGTTCCATAACACTTCCCCTAGGGGAAGTTTACATAATCAGAATGAATGAATTTGTGGATGATATGCCAGAGATTGACAAATTACATAAAAGATCTTTGAAATTATTCTTAAATGTTGTATTACTCATTTGGAATCAGTAATCAGGGAGCTACTGTATACTTCTCTGTTGAGTTGTGGCTCCGGAGTTTTGCCAGCACAACAGTTTCTTACCTCTCTGGACTAGCTTTGTGGAAGCATCATTGGGTCTCCCTGGGAAAAGACAGGCTGCCGGCAGACACGCAGACCTTCCCTTTGTGTGGTTGACGTCTTCATCAGAGTGTTTGGGTCTCAGAGCCTGAAATGTGCAGTTGACACCAGTGTCCCAAGGCCTACCTTGCCTCTCTCCATCACCCTCCCCTCAGAAACATGTCTGCATTTGCTCTCAGGGCACAGTGGACACAACAGATATATTGAAACATCTGCTCAGCATGGGGCTATTCTGTCCACCATATATTGGGTGGACTATTCTGGGCCATTGGAGGGTTTGTCCCTTGAGTGAGTTGGATCAGGTCAGAGAAGGGGGGGGGCCCTGAAAGCTGTCAGTCCCCCTTTAAGACTTCTGTTTATAGAAATAGCCTGCACCTGGAACAGATGTGGCTCTGCAGGAGCTGGAGGCTGGCAGCAAGCACTGGGAACTTCTCCCAAAGAGAAGGCAGCATACCTCTGGGGCGTTAACTTTGGTTGGTGACCACCAGCTCCAATATGGCTCTAGACAGTAAGGTCTTAGGTAGAGGGTATGAATAGTGATCTAATGAGAGATTACTTAATCTAGAGGGATCAAAAAAAAGAAATTCAACAAAAGTTTAGAGTTTGAGGAATACTTTTGCAGTAAAGGTCCCCAGATGCTGTCTCCACACTGTGGAATCCTTCCTCCTGAGTCTCTGGGTAATGATCAGAGCTTCTGGAAGCTCCAGGAGAATGTCTTTGAGCCCCACAAATGTGATTGAGTACTCTGGGGTACAGCAGTATGTTTCACACCTGGGAGGCCTCCTTTCCACATTCCTGAGGATGAGGGGTATCAGTGTCTTATAGCAGCAGTTGACATTTGGGTTATATAAGATCCAGCTGGAGATGGGACAGCATGTTTGACAGTCTTAATTAACTTCCCATGCGGGGCACCATAACAGGAAGCAGGATGGGTTTAGTCAGAGGCAAGTTGCCCTGAGTCTGAAATGCATGGACTTGTTGCCTAGATGTGTATCTTTTACTTTACAGGTGCTGAGCGCCCTTGGTTACCATGTGGTCACCTTTGACTATAGAGGTGAGTGTTCTTTTGAATGTGCTTCTCCATGCACTTGCTCTGAAGATGAGGGTATGGGCATTGTGTTAGCTTCCTCTTGCTGCTGTAGCAAATTAGCACAAACTTAATGTCTTAAAGCAACACAAGTTTAATATCTTGTATTTCTGGAGATTAGAAGCCAAACTCTTTAGCCACCAAATCCAAGTATTGACAGGAGTGACTCCTTTAAGAGCCTCTATAGGAGAATTGGTTCCTTGCCTTTTTGCAGCTTCCAGAGGCCTCCCTCTTTCCTCAGTTCTAGGCCCTTTGAGTCAGCATCACTCTAATTCTGACCTTGTCTTTCACCTTCACTTATAATGGCCTTTGTGATAACTTCGCGCCCAGGCTAAGAAACCAGGATAGTCTACCAACTCTAGGTTAACTTATCAGCAACCTCTGTTCCTTCTGCAACCTAATTTTTTCTTGCCATGTAGCAGTATATTCACACGGTCTAGGGAGTAGGACACAGATGTCTTTGAAGGTTATTAATCTTCCTACCACAGGAAGGAAGAATGTTCTGTCAGAATGAAAGTTCTGAGTAGAGAAAACTGTACTGAGAATCTGGAAGGTAGGTAGTTCATACTTTTTTCCATGATAAAGAAGGTTTTCTGTGTCTGCTACACTCTAGAGACCTCAGCATAGTGAGAAGGAGTGGCCGTCATCTGTGTTTATCACCCTGTGCTTCTAACAAGAAATAAAATCCCCTAGAACATTTCCTCTTTTCAGTTCTTACTGAGTCTCTGTACTTCTAAGACTCGTAAGAGACAAACTCCATTTATCTCCCTGCCCCTCTGTGGCTGTGTTCCAGTCTCTATCTCTTCCTGTCCCTGAGTCCCTGCCTCCCACTGGGACCCTGAGCCGCTTTGGTGTTATCTCTCATGCAGTCCCTTCCCTGGAGTGGCATCTGGAGTGCCCAGGAGTGGCCTGCTACTAGCTCTGTGAGGTTTGCCTATGCAGCAGTACCTGCTCCTGAACCTGTGGTGCTTCAGATCATTTGATGATGACTCACTGCTGAGCTGCTAGAAATGACAATTGCACTTGACCTTTTTAGAGAAAGACTCTTGGGGGAGACATAGTTTGGGAAGACAAATTGTTGGATTTCCTCTTTAGGAGCCACTTCCCTTTTTGGGTCAGAGTTGTGTTGAGCCTGAAATCTCTGCCTACTTCTTTTCCCCAGAGCCTCCTGGCTCCCATGCCTGTCTAATGCTGGGCCACAGCTGGGCCATGGAATTAGACATGGGCTCAGGGTACCCCATGGCAGCAGGATTTACTGCCATGGGTGCTCCGCTCCTTCCTGACAGACTGGAGTTCCACTGGGCTGGCCTGTCAGTTCCTCATCCCAGGCTGGCTTCCAGCAAGTCCTAAGTGTTAGGGAGTTTGATGTCTTGTCACTGTTCTCAGAGGTCTGAATGTGTGACTACCCCTGTCTGCACAGCTGATCTTTGGACTTGGACAGGGGTTCATGGACAGCTGTTCAGGCTCATGAGATATAACTGAAGAATTGGTGGGAGAAGTAGGAGTCAGCTATTCAGGATACCTTGTGCAGGAAACTGAGGATGGTGATGGCAGAGACTTTCATTACCCCAGGCTGAGCTGGATCTTCATGCCTATTGAGAAAGAGGAGAGGGTCTGGCCCCCTCAAGAAGTTCTGTGAGCTGCATTTGACTTCTTCCTGCTTCTCTCTCCCAGGTTGGGGCGACTCAATAGGAACACCATCAGAGCGGGGCATGACATATGATGCACTCCATGTTTTTGATTGGATCAAAGCAAGAAGTGGAGACAATCCTGTATATATTTGGGGCCATTCCCTCGGCACTGGGTAAGAATTTCCAGCGTGAGGTGGCCATTGTGTGAGCAGGTCTTTGTGAGGCAACTTTCCAACCTGGGCTCCCTTGAGGATGCCTGAGTGGTCTGTGGATCTATTAGTCCCAGAAATCCTGTTGCGGCAGGGGATGAAGTGCTACAAGAAACCACGAAAGGTTTGAGCTACTTGAATCCTATAACCCAAGAAGTGCTCAAGACACATTGGCAATCATAGCGGGCCACTCCCTCTGCGGGGAGGACAGGCAACTCACCGCAGCCTGAGATTGCACCCTGCGGAGATGTCTTCAGAGCAGAATGGAATGGGGCTTGGGTCCCAGGCTTTGGGATTTGTGCTAGCCATCAAATCGAGGCTTTGATAACATAAATTAGGGATGTTTGTAAACAACTTAATCACTCAGCTTACACCTGGCTTACCAGACAACGTGAGGAGGCACATAGGTGCCTCCTACATTTTCCAAGACAGGAAGCACTTTGATGGTCTATGGTGGCAACTTTAATTGCTCTTGCTGATGTCAGGTTCAGGGTGTTTCTAAAGGAAGCTGTTGTTGTCAGTGCCCAGAGCCCCAGGAACTTCAGCATCCATCCCTTTTTCTCTTGCCTTCCTTTGGGCACAGTGGCTGTGGCCCCTTTTGTGATTCTTGCTCCTCACCTGAGACAAAATGCTGCACTTAGTCTGGCCCTGCAGGCTGCGGGGTGTCTGAGGTAGGGTCTCCCCTATGGGGAGAGTGAGCTGTATATCCTCAGAGGTGGGGTGGGGGGGTCCAGGCCATCCTGCTGTGGCTTTCTGCATGGGACCTGCTCACCTAGGAAATCAAGGGCCCCTGGCCTACAGACTTCGAATGCTGGCTGTGGCGTGGAACTATGCATGCAGACCACAGCATCCTGTCAGCTGATGGTGCTATATAGCCAAAAGGAGGCTGACCCAGGTGAGGTAGCAGGACAGACGCATGGATGGTGACTGTCATCGCCATCCATGTCAGAGGGGTTAGCTGATGGTAGCCTCCCCGCCATAGTTCTGGGACATTTTGTTTCTTCTACACCACTCCCCCAAACCCCATATATCATTCACAGATTCCATGACTTCTTGGGCATGTTCCAATGTTAGAACAGTTTCATCCAAAACAACTTCTGTCAGTGATTATGCTCTATGAAATAAGTCAGAAGGATAAAGAAAAATATTGGATAGTTTCACTTATAGGAGGAATTTAGGGAAACTGAACAAAGTATCAAAAAAAGAATGTGCAGGCAAACTACAGATCTGAGGCATACAGCAGGGGAGGGGAGGGAAGAGGGGTTGAAATGAGGGAGAACACAAGGGACTATGGTGATGGTTCATGGATGATGTGGTGGTAGATTTATGGGGACTACACCTGAGGGGAGAAATCAAATATTGTACAAAAATGAACAACAATATAATAAAATTAAAAAGTTAAAAAAAAATAAAACAACTTCTGTCATAATTCAACTGAATTGTTTTTTTCTGTCTTCCCAGAGTAGCAACAAATCTGGTGCGGCGCCTCTGTGAGAGAGGTAGGGCTCGTGTGGGCTTGTGAGCATTGGTGTGTGGCCTGGGTCCTATAGGTGTGTGGCAGGGTGTGTGGCAGGGTGTGTGGGTGCCCAGTGTTCCAGCCCTGCTTTGAGTTCTAATCAAGCAGGTGCTGATGGATAAAAAGCAAGGTGACAGCACTGATTTCCTCTCAGAGCCCCTCAAGCTGGGCACTGAGGCCGGAGCCTGGGCAGAATCTCACCTGACCCAAACCTTCATCCCCTTGGAGTCCAGCTGTCAGTGGAGCGTCTTCAGGGCCAGATGAGCAGCTTCAGCAGATGTTGTTCTCAGGAGTAACCCAAAGGCCACCCAAGAGTTCCCGCTCCCCCCCGTGTGTGTGTGTGGCCAACCTTGTGAAAGGGCCTGAGGGACAGGGCCAGCTGGTGGGCATTCTAGGTCCACTGTCCTATTTGGGGTGGTGAGGGGGCTGCCCCTTCCCATGGATCTTAGAGTATGGGGTCAAAGAGTATGTATTTTCTCATGGCTTCTTGCCTGTCTCACAGTTATCTTTGTTCTTTGTTTTTTATTCTCTAGAGACACCTCCAGATGCCCTTATATTAGAATCACCATTCACTAATATCCGTGAAGAAGCTAAGAGTCATCCATTCTCAGTGGCAAGTACAGATCTTATTAAAACAATTACTGTAAGAATATAAAAATTGTAAGTAAATAAGTATAACATTAAAAATAATTAAAGTATTTAAATAATCTAATGAATACAGGTTTTATTAAAAAGTAATCCTTACTTTGGTTCGGGGCACTGACCTAACTATAAAGCTGCTGCAGAGGTTCGTATCCTCCAGCCAGATAGCAAGTTGGTTCACAGCTGGGTCATCAGAGGGCAGCAGGACCCATGGAGGCCTTGCCCTGTGGCATGGTTATCTGCTTGGCATCTTTGCCCCTTGGGGCTAAGCTTAGGCCAAGGACTGCTGCCTTGGCTGCTTCCCCAGCCCCCTCTGTCCACATGTTTGGTGCGTGGCAGCCAGACTCTCCCCAACATGTCTCAGGGTGATCCCAAGGGAAAGTCCAGTGGGGACTCCAGAGTGAGTTGCTCCCTCACTGGCTGGGATGGAGGCCTTGGTTCCTTCTTTTATAGGCTTGACCCAGAAAGGCCTCCTCTATTCCTTGTCCTCCTCCTGCCCCTGCACCCTGACTGGCCCTGGTGTCTGTGGGAAGTCTGCTCTCGAGCCTATCCTAACTGCTGCTCTGAGGTGTGGGAGCCCCCTTTGTGGGCAGTCCTTGCCATGGCCAGTCTGAGGGCTTCTCAAGCTGGAGTCTGTGGTTCGATATTGGGGCATCCCACATAGCTCTTGTGGGGCCACAGCTTAGCCTGCTGGGAAGCAGGGACCACCCCTGGGTACTGGGTAGTGTCTGTCTGAACCTTGGGCCTTGACCTTTCTTAAGGGGTTTTAACTGACACCTTGTTCCCATGTCACCTTCAGATATATAGGTACTTCCCTGGGTTTGACTGGTTCTTCCTGGACCCCATTACAAGCAGTGGAATTAAATTTGCAAATGATGAAAAGTGAGTACTGTGGTAGAGTACCTGATTTTTCAATTTAGGAAATCCCTGAGGACCCCCAGGATAAGCTGCCTCAGTCTCATTAACCAAATGGGGGTGCCGGGAGAGGGGTCGGAATATTTAGGGTTTTTCTCTCACTACCAGATCTGTACAAAAGGAAGGTCAAAGCCTTTTCTGACAGAAAAGAGTTGGAAAGACGACATGTTTCTTTCTATCTGTAAAGGTGTTTTCATTTGAAAATAGCCTGTCAAAACCAGAACTCCTGGACAGGTATTAAAACAATAATAGGGACTATTAGTAAAAATGTGGCTCTCTCATAGACATTTGATTTGTTGGTTGTGTAAGGATATTGTAAAGTGTATTTTAAAAATATTTCCAAAAGTTCAATATAGGACTCTTTGAACAGTGTTCACATTCTATTAATGCCTTTGTGATATTTTTATTAAAAAAAGAAAAAATCCTTATTTAAATATTTAGTTAACATTTTAATAGCTACACTTTGAAACAATATGAAAAAGTATTTTTCTCTCTCAAGATTATGTTTTATTTTGAAATTAAAAATGGAATTAAAATTTAAGCACTGTAAGCAAAAACCTGCTTGTTTATAAATAATACTAGAAGCAGAATTAGCTGAGTAAACTGAATTCCTTTTATAAACAAGCCAACAGTGAATACTGGGCCCCCTGGAGCTGCTTTTGGCCTTGTCCCCACAACTGAGAGTTGGGGAAGTGCCTTACCCACTGGAAGTCAGGAGCCCTTGTCTGGGTGGGCAGGTCTGTTGCCAAGTACTTGCTAAGGTGATAGCATGTGAGCTGGGCCTCTTCCAGAAAATGTAAAGCTAAGGACACGCTAATTATGTTTTTTTTAAATTTTATTTATTTTTGCATAGAAGAACGAGGGTGTAGGCCAGAGGTTCAGGGGTGAGAGGATTCACCAGAGACAGAGCGGGGAGCAGAACAGGCAGAGTAACGTAATACACTGCAGAGCGGAGCAGTGGGCGAGACAGGAGAGGTCTGCTGCACCATGTGGGTTATTTCCTGGGCTGGGGATCAAACTCAGGCCATAGCAGTGACAGCGCTGAGACTCAACCCCTAGGCCACCAGGAAGGCCCAAGACACACTTAACTATGGTGGAAATTCTGAAAAAATGGGTATTCTAATGTGCGAAGGTATGACTTGCATACAGAAATGCTGTTCCCCGAAAGTAGAGTGAGTATGTTCTTGTGCACCACTAGCAGAAGCAGGCTGTGGACAAGCTGGGCATCTGTGGGGCAGGAATGCTCTATCATGTACCAGGCTTCCCCCCATGCAGCCCTTTTGGAACCCAAGATCAGTATAGAGTTGCTAGGATGGGTGGATGCTGTGTTCTCCAGCTCCGTGTGAGACCTCAGTACGGTGGCCAGTCCATAGCCTCTCCTTTGTTACATGGTTTGCTGAAGGAATTTGGATCTAGTGAAGCTACTGAAATGTTAACTTACTTGTAAACATTCAGAGCTGGAGTGACTTTAAATGTCATTAACACTAAAGGTAAATTAGAGGCTATTGGCTGTTTTACTAATAGATTTTTCAGTCATTTGCAGTTAAGTTTCTTGGCCCATTTGAATTGTTCAGTTTCTAAGTATCATTTTGTAACTTTTAAAGAACAAGTCTACTGGAAAAAAAATTACAATTTCTAGAAACTATGCAGGGGCCAGATTTGGTGAATGAATTGATCTTTAGATTTGGTTGACACCTATTCATCCAGAATAGGTGTTGATAGAAACATCTAAGAAATGAACTTTCAGTTCTCTGGTCAAAAACTAGCTGTTAATAAGCAACAGGGTGAAGGACTCCCTACAGCAGGTCCCTGCCATGGGCAGAGCCAGGGGGGCAGGAAACCCAGCCCTCTCCTGGGCCTTAGTCTAGTCCCCTCTCCCTCCACAGTGTGAAGCACATCTCCTGCTCCCTGCTCATCCTGCACGCTGAGGACGACCCTGTTGTGCCCTTTCAGCTCGGCAGAAAGGTGGGTGTATGGGACAGGCTGGGAGCAGACCCAGATTCAGGCCAGGCAGGCTACAGACAGATATGAGGTGTGTTCTGCTGCTAGCAGGTGTCCCTTGTGAGGAAGAGAAGGGCAGAGATGGTGTGTTTGGAGTTGTGTGTGTTGGGGGGAGGGAACAGGGACTCAGGTGGGTTCGGGAAGAGCTGTTGCTTTCTACAAGAGGAAACATGACAAATAAGCAAATGGCTCCCAGGTCCCCATTCAGGGGTCCTGTCTGATGGAAGCTAGATAGAGGAGACTCAGTTGGGAGGCCTCCCAGTTACTGACTGGAGGTTACGAGGGTCTCCCCAGCCCCAACACAGACGTTCCTGTAGTTAGGAGTGACACAGAAACCTCCCATCTTTTCTCTTGTGCTTGAGACTGGATTGATGTCAGGAATATTGTGTTGTCCTGGGGCTTCCACACTTGCTCTGCTTTTGTTGCCCAGAGGTAGGTGAGAGTGGGATAGTAAAAGGCCAGGGACAAGGTCAACCTAGAGGGGTCAACCCTGAGGCATTTTGCTTCAGTCTCAGAACAGGCCTCAGCAGGCCCAAGCACCTAGCACCCCCACTCCCCACCCTCCCCAGGGTTGGGTAGCCCGAAGCAGAATGATAATGAGTCAGCATTTTGACTGTCCTTGACCTCGGAACTCCTCCTGGCCCTGTTTGAGGCACACACCAGTCCCAGCTGCCCAGTCTTACATCCCACTTCAGGGGGCTCCCAGATGGAGACAGGCCTGAGAACACAGAGAGGGACTTGAATGGCAGGCAGAGCCTGAGTCTGGGCCTTGCTCCATCCAGCATCTTTTGCTCCTGGCTGTCGTAGGTTGTAGGGCAGTGGCACCGCGTGTGGATTTGTGTGTGTTGGGGGTTGTGGTGTATGGTGCTGGGCTGCTCTTCAAGAGGCCACTGAGCAGTCTTTGTGGAGGGGAAAGACAGGTAACCCACAGGCCTTGAGCCTTCACAGTGTCTGGGTACTGACCCCATCTCTCCCTCTCCTTAGCTCTACAATATTGCTGCACCATCTCGAAGCTTTCGAGACTTCAAAGTTCAGTTTATCCCCTTTCACTCAGACCTTGGCTACAGGCACAAGTACATCTACAAGAGCCCTGAGCTTCCACGGATACTGAGGTGAGGCTTTTTCTTATCACAGATGACATCCTGGGCAGGGACGGTTCAGGCCAGACATACAGCAGTCATAGTCACTAATGCTCTTGGGGGTCTCAGTGGGGCCAAGAGCCATAGTAACTCAGGAGTGTTTCATTTCCATCGAGGGCTTGAGAGGGTTTATTGTCTCTCCCTCCTGGACTGTCTACATGATCAGACAGGGTGGTGATATCCCTGTGGCACAGGCTATGCAGGTGCACACAGAAGCCCACACAGGGGTGTGCCCAGTCCAAGAGCATGCACACAGGAGCCGCATGTGGCCTGCTGCTCTGGTCATGCTTTGGTCCCCTCCACACATCCATCAGGTTGCTGTGCACATGGCACACGGGGAACTCTGACCTGGGCTAGCTTCTCAAAAGCTTTTTGGTCCCCAGCCATTCTTGAAGGAGGTTGTACTGGCCACACTGTGTTGAGTGGAATCCTGGACCAGGCATGGAGTAGCCTAGAGGGCCACGGCCCTACTGCAGCGCCCACATGAGAGTAGTGGCATGGTGCAATGATTAAAATGGACCGGGCTGGCTTTGCCTTAGGATCTAGGCTCTTGTGCCAGGACAAGTCCCATGACTCAGGCATGCACTGCCTGTTCTCCCTGCCTCTTCTCAAGGGCACTGGCACCATCCACTACTTCCTGACTGTCCCCTTCTGCTGGATGCTAAGGTTGGGATGGGGAGAGTTCGCCTTCCTGGGGCAGCTGACCCCACAGGGGTTGCTCAGAGTGGCCCTCAGTGTGGCGTCTTTCATGAGTATTTCTAGTTTAAACCTCAGCTCTCCCCTAGCTGGCCCTGAAAGGCGGGAGGCAAAGCTGCATTTCATTTTGCAGTTTGCAGTACCTGCCACATGGATGTGGGTTGCTGAGAGGGCACAGTGAACTGAAAGAGTATGGGTTCACTCAGGGTTTATAACTTTTCTCTATTATAAAAGGAATATATTACAGGAAATTTAGATGAGTGTAGCGCCTAAGTTTAGAACAAAGTGTAGTAGGTAACTCGAACTTGTCTTTATTCCTACGAATTTCCATTGGTGCCATTAATGTCCTGCTGGGGAACTCACAGTGGGTTTCCTGCAGGCTCCTTTGAGGACTCCTTTTAGTTCATGCTCAAGGGATTCAGCTCACATGTGTCCTGTCCTGGTCTAGGGAATTCCTGGGGAAGTCGGAACCTGAGCGCCAGCACTGAGTCTTGCTGCCTGAAAGAGCATGAAGACCTCTGCCCTTCATCCCTCATCTCTGGCCAGCCCAGCACCCCGGAGCCTGGAGGGGGCCACTGCAATGCCCCTGGAGAGTGGCCTGGATACCAGTCAGGGCAGATGGAGGAGGCCCCAGCAGACCTGTGGCACCACAGTGCCTGGGAGCATGGATCTTTGTGGAAAACTTGGGTGTCGGACGTATGGCCCTCTCTCCCTTTTGCTGCCATTCAACCTGAGCTCTTGTTGGGAAGACTTAGTAACAGATCAGGCTGGCCACGAGCTGGTCAATCCTGTACTTCCTGAACTGAGCATGGAGCGCCCAGAGCAGGAGGCCTTGGGTCTCAGGACAACGTGAGCTTTCTGGCACAACCTGTGAGAATGTGGGAAGATCTGGTTTCTTTCTGTCTCTTCCTGACACCCACAGAATGGACTCTAGTGGTTTGATCGTCCTCCTCCCACCTGAAGCACCTGCTTACCCTTCCTGGCCATCCTGCCTCCCTGCACAGCCCTGCTTGCTCACAGCAGGGAGACGCCCAGAGTCTGCACTTCCTCTGCATCTCACCCATCTGCCTAACCTGGCCTTAGACTGAGCATTTATTTAAGAATAAAATCCTGGTGGTGGTCTGTGTTGTTTACTCAGTCACTCTACAGCTGTGCCTCCCAGCCCAGCCATGTGAGGGGAGGGCGGCTCTACCAGGCCAAGGAGCATGGGGTCTTTCCTCCTCCTGCCCAGACATGCAGGTCCCTGTAGGGAGGGGTCTGGCCTTGGGTGGAGGCATGTTTACAGTGGGCACTGCTTCTCCACATAAGGCAGCCAGCATTTTCCTGAAATACAGGCCTACATAGGTGACCCTTCTAACCTCACGCTGAGCATAAGGCTGTTGCTTTGTCAGTGGATAGGCCGTTGGTTTTCACCCATTGATCTGAGACAAGCCTGACTTCTCATGAAAATACTTAGGCCGCTGGAGTGCAGGTCCTGCCTGTGAGCGCTGCCTCACTTACTGGTGGTGGCTCGTGTTTGACTTTCTGTCAAATTGGCCTGCAGTTCTGTTGCTCCCACCTGACATTAGTAGGTGCTAACAATCCTGCTTTTATCTCACCTCCCCCTCACTAGGGGAAGGGCAGAGTCTTCCGACCTGGCTAAGTAAGCTCTCAGAACCCAAGCGTGCATGGGGCTGTCCCCCCAAGAGCTACAGTCCCCTTGTGGCGCTGGGACAAAGGTTTCGCAGGTTGGAGGAGTAAGCACTTCTGGTCTCCTGACACGGGCCTCCGTAGGCCCCTCAGGCTGTGGAACTTTCCCCAGTCGAGCCCAGCACCAAGGTAGATGGGACAGGGACTGCAGTCTCAGATCTGCCGTCCTACCTACACTCATGTCTTCTTTCTTGTGTTTTTAAACTTTTGTATCTATGAGCTGCCTCAGAGCCTTTTGGCACTGAGGATATAAAGTTAAAATACAAGCTGTTGTGCGTGTGTGACAAGGCAGACTGAAGATAGGAAACACTAAAAGGGGGCGCTGGGTCACCTCTGCAGGGTGTCAATGTCAGTTAATTTGATCTAGTACCAACACCTGGTGGCATTTTAGCTCTTTACCTTGGTCCAAGTGGCTAAGCTTAAATGACACTTTGAAGGTTACAAAACAAATCTGTGGTCAGGACCAGCCCTTGAAAAGCCAACTGGAAATGTGGGCACAGCTGTAAACCACAGTTCATGCAGTTTTAACGTTCTAAGTCCTGAGCTCATGTCCTTCCTGAGTTTTTAATTAAAACAGCAGAGGTACAACTCAGGAGGGAATGTTTTGGTTCCCAGGATATTCCACTTACCAGGACGACTTACCACCCACCCACAGATGGTGGCAGGAGGCAGGTGCAAAAAGGAGCCACCAGGTCACACCAGAAATTCCCGAGAGTTTGCCAAATGGCTGCTTTGACAATTCTTTAGAAGAGTTCGGAAGCCTATGGCTTCAAGTTCCAAAAGCAGTTGGGATGAGAGAACTTTCCTCACTCCCAGAACAAAGGGCTATTATTTAGCGCAGCCTTACAAAGGTACTGAGGCACCCCAGGATCTGAATTGCCCTCAGTAAAGAGTGGAGCAGAGGCCAAGTCAACCATGCACAGGCAGGAAGGTTTAATCAGTTCTCACAGGAGGCAGTAACAGTAAGTGGTGACAGTGATGGTCACGTGGCATAAGGCACAGGGCAGTGCAGGGTGCCAGGGCACCACCACTGCCCCAGAACATGTCCCTCGCCTACAGACCCCAGTGGCTCTGAAGTGTGCATGTGATCAAATCCTCCGCAGTCTGGTTCTGAGAGTAAATAGAAGCTGGGGATGACGCAGGGTCCCCATGCTGCAAAGACCCAGCAGGCAAGGCAGATGGCTTCTAGAAGGGATCTTCCCTGATGTCTCCTACAACACCTGGTAAAGGACCCAATCTGCTCACTGGTTTCCTGTGGGCACCTGAGAAGGGCTGACTGTGCCCTTCCTGGCACCAGTGCACTGTCGAGGCAGAGTGGAAAGGGGGCTCACTTATGGACCCACTGGGTCCTTTTTCCAGACCATGTTGTTACACTGGTGGGAAGGAAGGCAGGGGTGTGTGTGTGTGTCTACACGTGAGATAGAAATGCACCCTGGGTGTGTGTGTGTGTGTGTGTGTGTGTGTGTGTGTGTGTGTGTCTATACGTGTGAGATAGAAATGCACCCGCCAGGACTGACAAGGCATACACAAAGCCACCACCATGACTGCCATGCCCTCCCAGGAACATAGCCCTAAAAAAATAGCAGGAACCACTGGTTGTGCGCACAGTGCTTAAAATTGGCATGGGGTGCAGAGTTGACAAGGAAACCAAAGCCTGCTGGTCCCAACACTAGGACACCTAATCCTTGGGGAGGTTGGGCGGTGGGATCTGCAGGTCAGAGGGCTCCACACCCCAGATGTCCCGAGCGTACTCCGTGATGGTCCGGTCACTGGAGAACTTGCCTGAGCAGGCAATGTTTCTGATGACCTTCTTGGTCCACTGGGTGGGGTTCTGCAGAGGAGGAGATGCACAGAGAGCCTGAGCTTCCAGAATTTTAGGGCTTTCCCAGATGATTCTGAGACTCCAGGGAAACCCGATGGAAGAAGAGGGAGTTACAATTAATAGCTCACTGAAAAGGGGGACCCCTTGACCAGAAAAAGTACCAAATGACTATAAGGGCAGAGAGCCCAGGAAAAGCTCTGGCCTCAAAATCCTACTAGGGCGTACCACATGGTAAAGACAGATGCCACCAGGTGGATCCAGTGCCCAGGGGAAATGGCTGAGCAGCCTCCTTCCACCAGAGCTTCCTGCAGGGCCTGGCAGCTGCACCCAGACTGTAAACAGCACCAGGAGGTCATCCCCAAAGGTACACTCTTCTGAAGCTAGCCCAAATTAAGGGTGATGACGGCTCCTCTCAGAGTATCCTGATTTTCCAGTTCTTTCCAGGAGTGTCCCCCAAGGCAGGTGATGAGGCTGGCCATAATCAGAGGACTACCCTAGTTTAGGGAAATAAATCACTTAATCCAACAACTTTGCCCACCACCATCACCTCTACTGCCATCCTCGGTGGATGGGACACCTGGAAAATCCCAGAAAAGGAAGGAATCAAGTACCAAGGAACATTCTCTTCCACCTTCCAAGTTTGGGACCTGGGTCCACTCCCTGTGGGCTACACCAAGGTAGGGACACCAGTGCCCCTGGGCTGCCTGGTACAGACGGGCACATACTCCACATGGAACCCCGGGGGCAAGCGCTCATGCCTGCACCATGGATGGGAGGGAGAGCTGCCCTAACATGCTGCCTTAGAGACTCCTCTCCTGACACGTCTGAGTCCTTGCTCTACCTGATGTTGAAGTCTTTGCCTTTTCCAAGAAATTGTTCACATTCTCATTTCAAACATGTGCTTTCTGTGCACACAAAGATCTTCACTGCTTGCCAGGCCTGTCCCTCATCTGGGTCTTGCACCCTTGCACTCCACACCCACCTGAGGCCTGGTCACACCCATACAGGTCAGCAACACCTACGTCCTGTGCAGACCACACACACCCCAGGGTCACAGGGCAGTCAGACTGCAAGCTGGAGCAGCCCGTCTCCACCTCGGGGCCACAGCACAGAGCCTCAGGCGGGCACCTCTCCTGCTCCCTTGCACCTTGCTGGGGCAGCTCAGTGGCTGTAGGGGAGACCCCACCTTGTGCCAGTGTGGATAGCAGCATCCAAGGGGGCCACAGGGTACCAGGCTGGGTAGGGGAGAGCAGATGGACAGCTGAGTGCCCGGTGGATAATGATAAGAAACACAGGATGGCAGGAGAGCCTGGAGTCCCAGCCACCCTGCTCTGGGTCACATCAGCTGAACTATGATCTCCTGGGAATGGCTCAAGATGGTATGACACAGATGCACCCACTGTTCCCTAACTGGGGGCCACCCCTATCAGTTCTAGGGCCCAAGAATCTTACCCTGTACAGTTGGTCCACCTGGGCCTGGCACTCCATGTAGGCTTCATAATCCGCAAACACCTTGAACCTGAAATGGGAGAGAGGAGGCCGGGCCTCATGCTGGGTGGTGAGTCAAGGAAGTACCCACCAGACCCCAGGGGCTGCTCCACGACCAGCACATCTACCTTGGGGACACTTCTGGAAAAATCTTATTTTAATCCAATGTTATCTAAAGAAGTTTGCCTTTACAGCATAACCTCCTCATGTAAGTGGGTTTGAGCTACATGGGCTGAGATTTCCTGCCAATTTCCCCTCCCAGGCAAAGGGGCATGGTGGGCAAATGGCGGCTTCATTTAGCTATTGATTCTCTTTAGTCTATTCTCAAGTCTAACTGCGCTGAGATCTGGTGACACAGGAAAAGGTTATTTGCATTTTCCTGATGTTCCGAACAAAAATAAAAGTTTTATGAAGAGATAGGAGTAGAGAAATGCAGTTTCATTTCTAACTGGCTCAGAAACAATTCATAAAGCCAGTAAAATCCTTCCCTCAATCACAGATCTTAGGGCCAAGTTTCCAGTCCCAGGTCATGTGTGTGTGGGGAGTGTGGGGTGCATGTGTGTGTATGTGTGTGTGTGTGTGTGTGTGTGTTTATGAGCTGGTCTGATGAGCCCAACTGATACCTCTCATCAAAAAGCAACAGACAATGATGGGTTGTGAGGCTGCCCATAGCCTCTGCAGCGCCGGTTCAACCCCCGGCCACCAGGTGAGGGTCCCACATGGAGCACAGACCTCTCCTGCGGCCCGCTGCTCCCCTCAGCAGTGTATTTCGTCAGTCTGCCTGTTCTGTTCCCTGCTCTGGCTCCGGTGAATTCTCTCACCCTCCCGCACTTCTGACTGTACCCAGTGCTTGTATAGATAAATAAATAAATCTTTAAAAAAAAAAAGCAACAGACAAAACTAACCCAAAGGCAAGTGCAAGTGAGAGAGGGCTTAATTCTTGCCAGATTCAACTTTTACCAACAGGGTGGAACAAAGAACCTTCATGACACTGAAAATTGGCAGACTTACTGTTACACACTTAGTGTTAGAAATCAGCCAGTCTATAGCCACAGATGCCTTAGAAGCACGTGTTACATGTACTGCAATGAACACTACACTGTCATTTATCACAGGTCACTCCACTGTAACCACTTCATGTCACTCTGGGTTGACATTTGCCATAACAGGAACCCTATTTCTCCTGGGGAGTCGAGGGAGCACCTCCACCCAGCCCCATGGGACACCACCCCCTTCTGGCCACACTCGTCCAGCTGTGGGCTGGCACTGGGGGGTCTAGAGCTGCACAGGCAGCCATCGCCACCACCAGAGTCCCTGCAGCACACCAGGCACAATAGGCACCCACAGCCAGCTTGGGCCTGGGGTACAGCAGAGCCTCTCTGGGTGGGCGTCTGAGGTTCTTCCCTGGAGGAAACCTCAGCAAGACCCCCCCACTCCTCCCCCACCAAAACCTACACTTTTTTTCAGCCTACCAGGAGGACCCAATTGTCTGATTGGTGGGGAGGCACCAGGGACAAAGGGGAGGCTGGCCCCACCTGTCATGGTACAGCAGCATGTTGACGACGTCCTTGAAGCAATCAGGCTCCTTGGGGGAGAAGAAGCCACTGCTGATCTGGTCCATGGCCTGCCTCAGCTCAGGCAGGCGCTCGTAGTACTCCCTGGCATTGTACCTGTGGGAGATTGGGCTGTGAGAGGGCCACCCAGGACTGCCCCACGCCCATGTCCTTGAGGTCTGCAGGGCATTCCTGGGCCCAGCAGGGTGGCCTCCTGTTCCTTCTGCTGTACAGAAATATGGCTGCTCAGGACACACAGTCCCATGCACGTTTCACTGTACACCGCTGCAGCGGCTGCTCAAGAGGTTGCGCCGCAGGACTCTGGGCAGAACTCTTAGCAGCGCCAGCTGCCCTGCTCTCCCGGTTCTGGGCGGAGGAGAAAAATGTATGTGAACAGGCACAGGAGACGGAGGAGACGAATGGGCCCATCAGGGAGTCTGGGGGAGGGCGGCAGGTGGCAGATGCTGTGTTCCAAGACAGGGATATGGGGGCAGAAAGGCCTGAGTGAGGGGCAGGCAGAAAATGGAACGTCAGAGGGAGGGGTTTATGCTCAGACTGACAGGGACGCAGTTCTGATGTTTTGATGACAACTGGAATTTCTGTGGATTGGTGCTGAGGCTTCACCAACTCTCCTGAGAGTTTTTTGGCAATTAGGCAACGCTGTCTTCCATTACTGCTCAGAACTAGGCTGGGGCTGGCACTCAAGAGTCTCTAAGGCCTTGAAAAACACTGAGAGGCTGAGAAACGTACCAGAGGAGACTGAATGCTGAGGTTTAAACACTGGGAACCCCTGAACAGGAACCTGGGACAAAAAAGGCTGTTCATGGGGAAATCTGAGTAAAGGATTGCCTTTGGTAAGTAACAACATACACCTACTGGTTTTGACAATGCACTATACTTCGTCAGTAATATATAAGCCACAGGAGACTCAGAAGGGCACATGGAGCTCTGCGCTGTCTGCAATTTTTCTACAAATCTAAAGTTACTCCAAACAAAAAGGTCACTGCATAGAGACAGGCCAGGGAACCTTGTCAGTCGGTGAGCCAAAAACCCCCAAATTAGCGAAGTGCACTCAGAGCCCTGTCCCCGAGGGCTCCCGCCACAGACACCAGGGCCTTTGATGCTTAGGAACCCCTGGGCTGAGGAGTCAAAATGCAGAGCAGCCAGCTCCTGTCCATGCGGATCCCTGGGACAGCACTCTGGGCCTGGGAAGTAGACAGATGTGGCGTACCTGCCCCAACCCCCACAGCCCTCCCTGGGGCTCTGGGCAGTGCCCGGGACTCACACACCCTTTGCGGTCCAGGGCTTCAACGTCCTCTACCCGCAGGCCAAAGATGAAGAGGTTCTCGGCCCCAGCCTCCTCGGCCATCTCCACATTGGCACCGTCCATGGTGCCGATGGTGAGGGCTCCATTGAGCATGAACTTCATGTTGCCTGTGCCCGAGGCCTCCGTGCCTGCGGTGGAGATCTGCTGTGACAAGTCAGCGGCGGGGATCACTGTGGGGGACGGATCACAAGAGGGTGTCACCACAGGGACATGTGGTGGGGGATGTGGTGGGAACACCATGCCCCCTTCCAGTCCTTGAAGGTGCTTCCAGATCTCCCTCCCACTGATTCCAGGATGAGCTAGTAGTTCCCTTGCCCTGTGGTAGGCTAAGCACTGCCCACCCTGCCTGTAACACTCCCCTTCTTAGTCCAGGGCAACCTGAGACAGAGGGCCCATGAGGAGACTCCTGAGGAGAAGCTCCTCAGGTGGCAAAGGACATTTGTTCTGGAACGTCAGTGATCCTAGACTAAACTCCACAGAGTAGGCACAGGAAGTCAGGCCCTGAGCTGCCTCAGAAAGGACAAAAAGGACAGGTGCTGGCCCAGATGAAAAGTAGGCAATGCCCTTGAGCGTGAGCAGGCGATGGGCGGAGGTATCTAGCTGGGAGGGGGAGAGGAGGAGAAGCTGCATGGAAGCTGCACCAGGCAGGGCACATCCTGCCAGCTAGAAAGCCCAGAAGCAGAAAGGCGAAGGTGAGGGGCAGAGGAGAGTGGAAGGAGAGGGACAATGAGGTCATAGGCAGGAGCAAGAAAATAGAGGCACAGAGACTGCCCAAGGCCTGAGAGAGTCCCCCCACTGATACAGGCGGAGAGCTTCTTCAAAGCCTCGTTGGCCGCAGGAGCCTTTGTGTCCAGCGCAAAGTTAATGCTCCTGAAAGTAAGTGGCCCTGCCCAGCACTGCCAGGAAGGGGCAGGTTTCTGCTTATGTGACCGCTCAGGACTACCTTTCTCGGCCAAGGACACTCGGTAGTTCTCCAGGAAGATCACTTTGAGCCTGTCGCCCACGATTGGATCATGGTTGACCACGTCGCTGATGGCTGTGACCAGCTTGATGATCATCTTGGCCATGTGGTAACCTGGAGCTGCCTGGATAGGAAGGGAATATGCCTAGTTGGGGCACGGCTGGGCCCTTGGGGGGTACCTCACTTTTACTGGCAACCAGGTCATCGGAGCCTGGTTGCCAGCCCCGCGAGGTCCCCCTCTGCTGGTGTCAGGGTGGTGGCTGTCAAAAAGGCTGAGGCTGTGGTGTCCCTGTGTCCTGCACGTGATCTTACAGACAGATGTGTGACAGCAGAGCCCACCCCACTGGGTCCAAGGCCTCGCCATGGACTGGCGGCCACCCCATGTACACCACATGTGGGATTTAGCTTGTTTTGATTCTCCTCTGCTTTTCAGAAATGAGAAGCTAAAAGGAACTAGAACTTGCAGAACTGACAAGCAACTAACAGGCAGTATAGGGACCTAAGGAATTCTGGAACATACCAGAAGGATGCAGTCAGGAAGTCCAGATGAAGCCTAGAGAGGACAAGCAACCCAATTTCTATGAAAAATGAGTTGCGGGACAAAAGAAGAGGGAAACACACAAGTAAAACCTTACATTACGAGATTTAAAACACAGAACCAATTGCCATGTGGCCTCACTGGGTCCCAGTCTAACACACTTCCTGAGATATTTGTAACTTTAATAAGAAACTGGGCATGAAGCTCCAGCTGATATCTAATGGCCTGAAGGAACTCTTGTCAAGTATTGTAGGGGTGATGATGGCACTGTGTGGTGGTGTCTAAACACATGTACTTTGTGATTTTGGAGGAAAGCATCGTCGTGAAGACATATGATACAGTACTCAGGGGTGACGCAATATCATGTCTATAATATACTTTGAAGTGGCTCATCAGAGCTGAGGGGTAGGTATTTGGATAGTCTACCACTCTTACTATTCTCTAGCTTGAAATTTTTAGCATTTTAAAAATGTGTTGGTAGTCCACATCTCTAAGAAATGCACACTGACCGTTTCTAACTTCAGAAGTGGCAGGGCTGGGGAGTGGGCAGAGACCAACAAAGTGGCTTGTGTTGCTCTGGCTTTGGTGGGCCTGCAGCTGTGCTCTTCTGCTCACCCTCATGTGTATCTGAGCTAGAGGAGAGGACAGAGCCTGCCGGTCAAGGACATGCACCAGTACCTACCAGCACACAGGCCCCACCATGAGGACACCCCATAAAAAAGCTGTGCCCCAGTGCTCCTCATGTTCTCTGATGTCACCCAGGAAAAGTGGAAATGTGGTGGTGGAGGGGTGTGCCACCAGCCTGGGAATGTAGAGCACAACAAGGGGACCTGACATTGTTCAGTGTCAACACACTGGGACTGCAGGACAGCATGTCCAACAGCACAAGCCTGGGTAAATTGAAGTGCAGTCAGGCTGAGCTTGGAGCAGATGCACATCTGGCTACACCCAGACTGGACACACATCTGGTTGACAAAATAGCCAGGGTCCAGTGTCCTTTTGGCACATGAATGCTGGGGAGCAGGTGGGACTGATCCTTGGGGCCATGGCCAGCACAGAAAAAAAATGGTGGTGGTTATATAGAGAAATGGCACTACCATGGAATAGAGCGGCCAGTAAGTCCACAGGGACTGCCCACTCTCCCCCATTACAGAGCTGAGGAAAAGAGAACCGACTCAGTTCACAAGCACAGAGGGCTCAGTTGGTGTCTGGTGGCACTGGGCTACATATATTGTCCAGTCCATGGGAAGCTGGCTCCCTTGTGCCAAAACTGTGCAGGTTTGTTCATGCTGGCCAAATGTCAAGCAAGGAGCAGAGGATGCCCCCTCACCTTGCCTCCGATCATGACAGTCCTCGGCACAAAGGCCTTGGCTGGATCCTTCTTTATTCCTGCAGGACAAAAGAAAGAGAGTCAAGTGGGGCAACCAGAGCCATATACACTCTGCCCTGGGAAACACCATGATACTCAGTGTCCTGAGATCAGCCCACACACAGGAGGCAGAGCACAGCCACTGGGCCCCCGCAGACCCACCAGGAGCTCCCACTTACAGATGGGGTTGAGATCCCTAGCCCTGCACATGTGACCCAGGTTGATGAGACAGGCCAGCCTAGAGCCAAGTCTTCCTACAAGTTCACAAGAAAAGCTGTACCTATGGTTTCAGAACAGCCCAAAACATGTGCCTGTTCTAGGGTCTGGTCACCAGCATTAAGACTCTTGCAAGTGATGGTCTCATGAAAAAGAGATGACTTTGGGATCATGGTAATGGTATTCTCACCCCTCGAGGTGTGTCAGGCAAGACCCCCCCAAGTCCCTGCACTTTCTCACTATAATCAGAGGTCAGACGTCCCTCCCAAAGCACCTTAAGTTGCAGCAAACTGAGTGTATCCTGGCTGGGACAATGGTTTTCAGATTTCAGAATGTATGCTAGGAGAGGTGTCAACAGAGCGGTGAGAGGCAGCCTTGACAGAATTCACCTGGGCCTGGAACCAGCTACTAAGAATTGTGGGTGATCTTCCACATCTGACCCCAGGTTATAGAAAGAATATGGCTGTTCCATAGTTCTGAACTTTCCTCCTTCCCGAAATCAGAATTATCTATGGCCATACCACTCTGGATGGGCCTGATCTCAGAAATCAGACAGAAAAACATGGAGAACAAGAAAAATCAAAAACACAAACTGCATTTTCACCAAAACTAGGAAGGAGGAAAAACCCATAAAGTCCAGATCACTGCACAAGCTGTGTCAGGTGGTGGGTGGTTAAAGCCAGGCAGGAGGCCAGGGCAAGGGGTTAGTGAATGGTGGGGGGAAGCTGAGGGGCTGTCTGGGGGAGTCCGGGCCTAATGTCCTGGGAAGGAGCCCAGAGCCAGGCAGACCAACCTCGTCAGCACCTCCTCTACAGAGAAACCTCAGGAGGGCTCTGGCATCCTGCGGACAGAGGCCCAGAGGGCAAAGCCAGGGCATCAGGGCTAGTGGCCTTGTGCACCAATTTGGGCTTGAATAGGCAGCCACACTGGGGCCACACTGGGGAAGCCTGCAGCCCCTGGGGCCCATGAAGTTCTGGGTCATACAGCTCTCTTGGATAGGAGCCACAGAAGTGGATACCGGGGCCTCCCCTGGTGGAGCAGTGGTTGAACTCTGGGCGGCGAGACTGCCCGCAGCCTCTGTAGCGCCAGTTCATTCCCTGGTTGCCGGCGAGGGTCCCACCAAAAAAAAAAAAAAAAAAAAAAGTGGATACCGGCCTCGCTGCAGACAAGGAAAACATCTTCCCTGTGAGAATCTGCAATCTGTGGTTCCCATTAACTTGGAAAGGAGGCCACAGTGTCAAAAGGTAGAACCTTGGGGAGAGGATGAGAAAACTGGAACATGGGGGATGAGGCATGGGAGAGAAAAGGCAGGACCACTGCCCAAAGGGCAGCCTGGTTCCAGAAGCCCAGAGAGCATGGAGATTTGAGAAGCAACGCAGCACACAGAGGAGAGAAGCAAGACAAGCAGACAGCATAGAACAAAAAGGAAAGATCTTTGGGAAATGCTCAGAGAGACAGCAACAGACAAGGTGGGTGCGCAGAAGAAACCTACACCACACCTCCTGGAGCCCTGAAAGAAAACCCAACAATGGCACCAAGCAGATGTTTTAAAGTCTACTTCAAGACAACTTGTGGAATAATACAAGATGCCAACTGACAAAGTCAAACAGCCCAGATGGGAAAACTGGCCACATTGGTTGCCCCTGATGTAGCCCAGCACACCTAGTGCTGGCTCAGAGAATGCTCATGAGGCCCAGACACCCCACGTGCTGGGCATCAGAGTGCGGGGATAAGAGCTATTCAAGGATAGAAAGGGAAGCTGAGAATGTCACCTTCAGCTTTGTGCTGCAAGGCCATAAGTTGTTCCAAACCTGCAGGAAGAACCTAGGAGCTCCATTTACACAAGTGAATGTTGTGAACTTTGCTAAGGGGCTGGTGCTGAGCACTGAGCATGTCCAACACAGATGGAGACAGACGAACGCCAGGGACAAAGACAAGAGTGATGACGGTGTGCCCACTGAACACAAAGAAACAGCGTCCGCATGGGCTTGGACACAACACAGGCTCCTCATTGCTGGCTGGGACAGCTGCCATTGCGGGGCGCTGCGAAAGCTAACCGTCTGGCAGAAGAGGGCAGGTGGGAAGACTTGAGTTGCCACGTAGGTGGGACTGGATGCAGGGGGAGGGGGTGCCTAGAGACTTTCATTGCATTCACAAATGGGACCGGGACCCTTGGGGGAGATGACAAAGAAAAGACAGAAAATCTCAACTTGCAAAAGAAAATAATGGCAAAGAAACAAACCACAGGTCTCAATGAACCACTGTTTCCCTCTAGGAAAGTCGCCTGCATGATGCAGCACCTTGAAGGCCATACACAGAGGAGGGCATGCATGGGGCCTTCTCCCAAGGGTCACTTAAGAAGCATCAGACAAAGCCAGTGTCGGTCCTATGACTTAAATGCCTCCTGAGTGACAGATTCCTCCACCCGGCTGAGTCTGACCTATTGGTAACAGGAGAACTGATGCTCTCAAGAGGAGCGTTGTATCTTAAAAAGAGTATTTTATGGTTCCTTTGGTTTTCAAAATTAGTATTCACTTTATTATAGTCCAATAATTTAAAACCCAAATTTTCCCCTAAGGTTTTATTATTTATAAGCCTATATACAATATTTCACATTTACTTTCGGGGGGGTCTTTGTTTCCTCTCATCACTAAATGTTGCTTAAACCATTGAAGGTACATGCAATTATTCATACATAGTCCATTTGATTTTTTTAATCAGTGGACTGTAAATGCCTCTAACAAGTAAAGTCTATTTAAATAACTTAAGGCAAATCTAATCAAGATAACCAATCCGGCCTTTGAGTCCCTCAGAGGCCCCCACCAAGACCCTGTGCTGGCCACATGAAAGCAGCTAAGTTTCTGCACCCCATGGGCCCTTCTGAGGGGCCTAGCTGTCCACCTGTTCCCCGGAGTTCAGGCCCATGTGCACTCAGACTGGAGGCAGCGTCACCACCTACCGGGGTAACCGCTCTGACACCGAGCACAGGGAAAACGTAAGACTATTGCTTAAAAGTGCACACACCCCTCCTCCCCACGCAGCTATGTGAGGAAAAGGCTCGGGTGGAGGAGGAGCACTCAGTGAGCAAGTCCTGGGCCTAGCTGTGGGTCAAGGTCTGGAGGCTGGCCACTCACGGTTGTACAAGGTGACAATGTGCAGGCAGTTCAGCAGCTGCCGCTTGTACTCATGGATCCTCTTCACGTGCACGTCAAACATGGACGAGGGATTGATTTTCACCTTGTACTCCTTCTCCAGGAAGGCAGAGAACTTCAGCTTGTTTTCCTGGGGAGAATAAAGGAAAAGGAAAGTAGACTGGTTCACAAGAACAAAGTCCCCGAGGGTCAGAGATTTCACTGTCCTGTCAGATATGCTACAGAAGGGACATGTGGGAGGGTACTGCTACCCCGGGAGGAATGTGTGGACCTCTGGCCCAGGGCTGGGGAGTGAGGATGATGGAAAGCAAGATCCTGGAGTCGATCTGCACTGAGTAGCAGAAATAAAGGGAAAATGAGACAAAGAGTCCATGTGGAGAGAAGCAAAGGACAAAAGAAAAAAAAAAATAAGACTAAAAGGAATCCAGTGAGCATGGTGTGAAATGAGGCCCGTCTGGGAAGACAAGTACTATTTCTGGGCTCCATGGCTCTGAGCGGGGAGAGGCAGGTAAGGGAGCAAGATCTGCCATCTATTTGGCTGGAAATGTGAGCTAGTCTGTCTAGTTGTGAGGCTGGCTGGAGAGGGAGAGGCTGAGATGCAGCTGAACCACAGGCCATGTGTAGAGGTGCAAGGACTTGGCTCTGCCTCCCGAGCACTTCCCTCTGGACCAGCTCTTCCTACAGGACTTCAGAGAAGCAGGCTTGAGACTATCTGTGGACTTGCACTAGCCCACTGCCCACCTGTTATGTTGCCTAGGGTCACAGGGGTGCACATCTGAATTGCTGAATGGAGAGGATGGATTTCGGAGGCCCCTGGACCTCAACACCCAGAACATGTAGGCCAGGATGCCACCCCACATGGCTGCATGTAGCCCACCTGCTTGACCTTGGCCACATCCCTGATGAAGGCATCGTCATTGACCAACGGCAGCAGCTTCTTCAGTTGGCTCAGGTCAGTCATGAAACCTTCCCCTATTTTCTGGAGAATCACGAAGGGACACATGATTTCTGCCCTGGGCAGACCCATCACCATGCCTCTGCTCACCTCTCTGTTTTCAATTGGAAGCTCAGCCCAGGCCTGTTAGGAAACACCCTTCACAGTGGATGTTTATAAGCCTAGCAGAGCGGACCCCCCGCTTCCTCTGTCAGACCTGGTTCACTCCCAGTCACTCTGCAGTTGTCCAAGTCCTGGTGAGCTCAACCACCCACCACAAGTGAGTCAGGCTCAGCCAGGCTCAGGCCTTCTTTGCTGCCCCAGCCCCATCTCCCACTCATCCCCGAGGCTCTGCACCACTCACGACCACAAACAAAACAGTGCCTTTGAGCCCCTGCCCCACCACATTGCCCTGCCCTGGGCCTTCTCCTTCCTTCTCCACACTGCAGAGAGGGTCTTTTCCAAGGAAAAAGTTTCAACAAGTATCCTATAAGGTTTCTCATTGCTAATTTAGGATCAGGAGAACTCCTGGCCTCTGAATACCTTGGCCAGATGTTTCCTCAGACCCTCCTCACTCTCCTTGCCTTGCCCAGCACTACACTGCTCTGACCTTCCAGCTGGTGAGCTGGTTCCCCAGCACAGGGTCTTGGACCTGAAACTAGCCACACCTGAGTGCTGCGGCCAGCTCCTCCCACTCACCCAGCAGATCTGGCCTTGCCCCTTTCTTAGCAAAGCCTTCCCCACTGCACGAGTTGTGCACGTCACTCGAAGGACCTCATGGGCAGTAGCGGAGCTGCCCAGAGCCCATCAGCCAGAGGTGTTCCCTGAAAGCATGTCCCCACAATGGGCCCTCAGCCTGGCCACAATAGCCCCCAGCATCTAAGAGTACTGGTTCTCCTCCTTCCCAAGCGAGCACATGAATAGGTCAGTAACCACCCACCCATTCATGTCCCAGAGGTGTGGCTGGCCCATAAAAGACCACTGGTGACGGCCTGACCACACCGGCTCCCCATGGCCTCAGATGACAGTTCTCACCTCCACGATGGTGTCGGCCAGCCCAGGATTGCACAGGAGCAGCCAGCGTCGGGGTGTGATGCCATTTGTCTTATTCTGGAACTTCTCTGGCTCCAGTTCATAAAAATCCTTAAAGCTAAAAACAGAAGACAGACAGCTCTTGTGAATGTGGTACTTTATATAAGGCGAGCAAGCAAACATAAGGACCTTCAAAGGGAGACCGCGAAGCTTGGTTTTCTCAAGAACACAGAGCGTCAGCACCACTGCTGGGGAGAAGTCGTGAGCAGATGGACCCGCTTTCATCACAGTGCCCCACGCTGGCCACGTAGTCTGTGCTAGCTGTGACCACTCACAAGTGGAGCCTGCCTGTTTCCAGAGTGGTCTGTGTGTCTAAGTTATGACAGTGGAGAGTTACGGGCTTCAGAGCTCAAGAAACTGGGGCTGTTTCCTCATATGTAAAGTAGAGAAACACCAGGTGACATGTTTGCTGTGGGAACATACAAAGCCCTTAGTTGGCACTGGAGACACAGGACCTTCCATATGGACAGAGGGCCCTTGGGGCTCACAGGAGAGAGGGGGGAGCAAGGCAGAAACTCTGAGGTCACATCGCACTGAGAGATGACAGGAGGCATGAAGTTCAACCTGAACCTCCACCCTGTCCAGGCCCAGCACACTGGTCACCAGGTGGGATGCTTGAGACACTCAGCCGGTAGCAGATGGCCAGGAGCAGAGCCTCTGGCTGGTGTGCCCCAGGCAGCTCAGTCACTGTCCACTGGGAGTGGAGGGGTGCTATGGGGCAGTATATGCCAACTCAGCTGCTGCATGCGGTGACCAATGGTCCCCAGAGACAGGTCTGTGGTCAGAAAGAAGGTGACGCAGCTCAGGGCTAACACCACCCACTCACACGGAATGCTTCACGATCTCTGAGTGAATCCGGGCCACACCGTTGACAGCGTGGGAACCAATCACACACAGGTGGGCCATGTTGATCCGCTTGCAGTCCCCTTCCTCAATCACAGACATCCTCCTCAGCCGGTCCACATCCCCAGGGAACAAGGCTGCCACGTGCTGTTGCAAAGACAGATCAGTGAGCAGGGGCAGGAAGTCCTGTGTGGGCTGGAGCTCCACAGGGAAGTTACGCTTCCCCTGAGGAAATCCTGGGGCTGCTACACCCCAGCCCTGTCACACCCCCAGGGCCCCACCTGCAGGGGAAGCTTCTACACTGCCTGGCCCAGGAGGCCTGAATGGGCCTGAGGATCCTGCAGAGCTGTTCCATGGGAGGAAGAGAGGAGGACCAGCCACTTGACTTACAGGGAAAAGCTGGTGATGCTGTCCCTGTGGGCTGGGGGGTGGGGTAGGGCCTTCATTATTAACTTATTTTGACCAGTGGGAACAGCTACTTTGTACCAAAAAGCTAAAAAGCAAACTATAATCATAACTGCATTCTAAGTTCCCCCAGTTTTCATATAATTTTCCTCTGTGGATAACAGAGGAAAGACACAGGGTGCTTTGTTTCCAAATCTCCCAAGTGAAAGTCTCTGGCATTCATGAACCAGACACACCTAAACTCTCTTGGGGAAAGGAATGCTTTTGGAAAGCTTGTATGCAACATAGCAGAGGTGTGTGTATGTATGTGTGTGCATGCGCATGCACGCGTGTTTTAGGGGAGACAATGGAGAGAGACTAGCCAACAGCTCTGCCAAATGACAGCCTCCAGCCCCCAAAGTCCTCTGCTGGACCGAGGCTCTGCCATTCAGGAGATAAAGCCTCTGTCCCAGGCCACACAAGAGCAGGATGATAGGGGAGGGCTGGTCAGTATGGTGTGGCCTCCCAATCCCTGCCCCCTATCACAGCAGCAAGGGTGGGCATAGTGGGTGCTGCCGTTCTGCTCCCCCACAGCCGGCCAGGCTCACATCCAGGTGCATCTGGTTGATAGCGTAGATGATCTCCAGGTGCCGTGGCAGCAGATTCTCAAACATGGACACAGGCCAGCGTTCCAAGGCCTCTGGCAGCACAGTGTGGTTGGTGTATGCACAGGTCTTCTTTGTGATTTCCCAGGCCTAGAACATTCCAGAACAATCAGTGTGTTTCATTTAGAAATATGCAGCTCTCTTGCCAGATGCGTAGGCAATGGGAAAGTCTAGGATTGAAGGCAGAAGTTCTGATCCCAGAACGGGCCCAGTAAGCTGCATAGCTAATACAGCACACATACTGATGGATGTTTAAAGAGCTTCTGCACAGCAAAAAAGACAATAATCAAAACAAAGAGAAACCCCACCGACTGGGAAAAAATTTTTGCACACAACACTAATGATAAAGGACTGATCACAAAAATCTACAATAGCTGATGAGACTCAACAACAACAAAGAAAATAATCCAGTCAAAAAATGGGCAGAAAAGCTAAAAAGGAACTTCTCTGAAGAGAAATGCAAATGGCCAACAGGCATATGAAAAAATGTTCAACATTCCCTGTAATCAGGGAAATGCAAATCAAAACTACAATGAGATACCATCTTACACTAGCGAGAACGGAGCATATTAAAAAAACTAGCAACAACAAATGTTGGCGAGGATATGGAGAAAAAGAAACTCTCCTGCACTGCTGGTGGGAGTGCAAACTGGTCCAGCCACTGGGAAAGCTGTGTGGAGATTCCTCAACCTGCTAAAGATGGAGCTTCCACATGATCCAGCAATTCCACTCCTAGGTATTTACCCAAAGGACACAGAAACATTAATTCAAAAGGGCACCTGCATCCCTATGTTTATAGCAGCACTATTTACAATAGCTAAGATTTGGAAACAACCCGAATGCCCAAAAACAGATGAATGGATCAAGAAGATGTGGTACATATACACAATGGAATATTACTCAGCAATCAAAAAAGATAAACTCATGCAATTTGCAGCAACATAGATGGAGCTGTAAGGGATCATGCTCAGCGAAATAAATGAGAAAGAAAAAGAAAAATACCGGATGGTCTCACTGATAGCAGGAGTTTAGAAAACCTATATAAGGGACCAGGAAAAAGAATAACTATAATAAAGAAAAAATCAAAATCAACAAGCAACTATAAACCAGAGACACACTACAGGGGGTGGGGAGAGGAGGGATTGGGGTCAAAATAAGGGGGTTGCAATTGTATGGGGAATATAACCAAGGTGAAAATGCACACATTGTGCAAAAATGAAAAATGATGTAAGAAATATATGTAAAAATAAAAATAATAATAATAACAATAAAAACAAGCAGTGCTGAGCATTTGTTTTTCATTTACATTAAACTGACTTAACCATAGCCCAGAAGATGCTGGTAAACTGCAATATCTACCCTCCACTAGATAGTGGCCAGGAACCCAGAATGGGGCCCCCAGGTCCACCCAGATAAACTCTGGGTATTACAAAATGGAGCCAATTTGTTTTATAACTTCATATATTGACTTAATTAGACCAGATCAAGAAAACTCCACTACACTACAGAATCTAGGACCATAGTAAGTTGACATATGCGAAAAAAACTATACATATGTAAACAAAGTATTTGATACTTCTGATTTCTTGGCCTTGATTTCTAAAATGAAAAAAAAATATGAGAAACTCGAAGGGTAAGAATCCTTGTCTTGTCTTGCAGGAAATCATTTTTCTGTACCCTTGCACTACTTCCCCCACTCAGTGTGTCCTGGTCCCTGGGGTATCCTCCAGCCAAGGTCCCTGAATTCTCAAGGAGACTCCTCCATTCTCCCCCAGCCACAGGCCAGAGGCCTCCCTCCACATGCCAGACTGGCTCAGTGCTCGTGACTGTTCCTGGGACAGACTCGGGCAGAGGAACACTGCCACCCCATGTCAAGTCTGTGGGGGCCGCTGACACTGTGCCCTGTGCCCTCATCCTCAGTGCTTACCTTGTCCCAGTCTACCTTCTCCACATCCACCAGGATCCGCATGAGCTCAGGGATGGCGAGGGCTGGGTGGGTGTCGTTCAGTTGGATGGCAACCTGCAGTTTACAGAGAGGATCCCTTCAATCCCCTTGCCTGTGCAGGCAACACAGACCACCCCCACACCCCCGCCTTGCACAGACCTGGAGTTCTTGTCAACCACCCTTGGGGGCCTGATCTAAAAGGCCGACAGCAGGGAGCAGACAGAACTGCAGAGACATTAGGTCCAGCAGGGAAACCACCAAAGAACAGAGAGTGGCATGAGGTCCAGAGGGACCACAGGGAGCCATGGCTCTGCAGCCAGGGGTGCTCTGAACAGGTGTGTTCTACAGCAGGTATGTGCTGAGCAGGTGTTACTGCAGAGCGCACTAAATGTGTCAGGCTTTGCCATGGGAACCTTTACAGTGTCCCCTGCTGCCTCGATTCCTACAAGGTCCAGTATGGCCTTGGGCAGAGAGAAAAGGCCTGGCCACTGATGGCAGGGCACACTGTTGTCCTGCCCAATTCCACCCATGCCCACTTTCAGAGGAAGAAATCGAGTCTAGAACACCCTGTCCTTCCACACTGAGCTTTATCCCTTGTTGCAAACATACCTTGTCTGGAAATGTCTCAAAACAGGTTCTCACTGGATCCCGACAGCCAAACTTAGAGGACTTAAAGCGCCGAATGATGTCCTGGAGCGTGGCAGCCACCACAAAGTACTCCTGCTTCAGGCGGAGCTCCTTTCCCTCGAAGAACTGCAGACAACAGGCAGTCAACACTGGGGCAAGCTCTACTCCACCTGACTCAGGCCTGCCCTGAGGACTTCCGGGATACAAGAGGGCGGCAGTGAAAGGAATGAGAGCCCGGCATCCAGCATGGTGCTGATGCTTCGGCCCCACCATCCTTGCCTATGGGTGCTACCTGCGTGTGCCCTCCCAACAGGGAGGGTATGCAAGGGCAGTCAGTATGGGGTTACACTGTCCTGTGTGGGGATACGGGGTAGGAAGGTCTAGTTCCTTAACTTCAAGAAGCCAAGCACCAGAGCCACACAGAAATGCAACCTCCAAAGTGAGCCTCAAAATGCTTTGCACCTGCAGCTTTAGAATTTGCTTAAAAATCTCAGGGCAGGGAATGGGGCATTCAATTCTTGGGCAAGTGGCATCAGGTGTGAGAAGAGCAGAGATTGACTGGACCTGAGGTCGACTGTGTTCCTGAATCCTAGCACATGGCCTTGCATGTGGACTTGTGTGGAGTCAGCTAAGACCTGCCTTTGGGGGCGACTGTGCAATTATGTGCTTGGCTTGAAGCAGGTGCTTTGAGTGGGTATGCTCTACAGCAGGTGTGCTCCAAGCAGATAGATCTTAACAGGGTAGTGTAGAACCTCCTCAAAAAGGTAGTGTAGAACCTCCTCAAAAACCCTCCAGGGAGGGGCAAAGGGAGACACTAACAGGCACACTTGACTCACTAGACTTCAGCAGGGTGACAGCCTGTCTTCACACCCCAGGAGCAACACCAGGGCCAGAGGTGGCCATGCATGTGCCTTGCCTGACAACTGCAAGGCTGACAAACTACAGGTCCTTCCAGAGAGTTTGCCTTCCATTTTCCATTCCCACACTTGCAAGAGGTATGGCGCAGACAGACTGACAAACGGGCTACTCACATTGTCATTTGGATACAGGACTCTGGAGATATTCTCGGCCAGGTTTCTGTCCAGCACTGCCTCCACATAGCCACCCACATTGACTGAGAGCAGAGAAGGGGAGGTCAGACCCAGGGTGCTCTGGATGCCCCGGGCCTACCCCGTGGCTCCGTACCACTTTCCCGAGAGTCTAAGGACAAGTATTGCTGAACAGATTCCCCCCACCCCCTGCTGCTGAAGTGCCCTGCTTCACCCACCCCAGATCTGGACTGGCAGCCATAATGTTTCCTATTCTTGTGAGGGCCCCTCACTCTTTCATGCTGGTGACCCTCCATGGGGAGCCCCAGTGCTCACAAGGAACCTGTCCTCTGCCCTCTTGCAGCTAGAGGGGTGTGGCCAGGGGAGCACATGGACTCTAGCCAAGCGCAGAGACAGGACAAGAGCTGAGTGGGGAGAAGGGAGATTGGGCATAAGCCACCCAACAGGACAGGGAGAACGCACAGTCCTGGAGTTTGAAGTCATTGGGCGCTTTGGCAGACCACAGCCTCATGGTGTTGACAGTGTTGTTCTTGTAGCCTGGCACTGGGGTGTCATAGGGCATGGCCAACACCACCTGGCCGAGAAAAGAGACGTTAAGACTGAGTCAGCCAGACCCACAGTGCTGGCCACTTGATCCGGTCAGAGACTGTCTTGACCCACCAGGTGGGACAGCTCCAACCTTGCAGGAAACAGTTTCACCTCCCTGCTAATGGTCTACCTGCTCATCCTGCTCCAGCTCTTCTTCTGTCCCAAACACACCCAACCTGCCCTTCACCACAGTCCCCTGTGCCATGTAGTAACCCAAACCCTCCCACCCTGCCACACACCTGCACCCACAGCCCCTGCTTGCTGACTTCCTGAGCTGGGGACACCTGTGACAGCCTCACAGGTATGCCTTTCATCAGTATCCTGGGTCGCATTTGTCTTCTAGCTTTACCTCCTGCAATCCCGACATGTACTCAGTTCCCCCAGCTCTTGTTCCCTGAACAGCCTCTTCTCCCAGTGCACACCATCTGCCCTCATGCCATCCCTCTTCTCACTCCACTCCAGGCAATCTCAGGACCAATACCTGTCTCCCAACAGTGGACACCTACTCCCGACCTCCACTTCCCATCTGTAGCAAGGCTCCTCGTGCTGCATGCCTTGACCTCTAACCTTCAGCAAAATCAAAGCAGCTGGCTCATTCTGCTTAGACGGAAATGACAGGACCTGCTCTTCACCCAGAGCTTGCCATATCCTCCTGATTCCCATTTGTCTAAAAGTATCAGCTTTGCTTTTGCCAAAGCACCCCAAATCTCTCCTCCCCTCTCCATGGCCCACTCTCAGGGGTAAGTTCTGCATCCTACCCTGCCTGGGATTCCCCAGGGATCTCTGGGCCTCCTCATCTTCATTTTCTACAATAGCTTCATTTTCTACAACACACATTTAGAAATTCAGATTCCCTTCTCAGAATTTTTAATCTAAATATAATTTATTATGACATTTTAGGACTCCATGACATGGCTGCAGCCAGTTCTTGCACAGAGGACCCTATTAAAAACAGATGTTGCAGGAAATCAGGACAACTTGCTTTTGCCTGCCTGCGACTGTCTCACCTTTCTGTGCTGATGCTACCCACATCACCAGACAACTGAGTCTTACTCACTCCAAGTACCCCCTCTCATGAGGTCCTTCTGCCAGGTCCCCACCCCCCCAAGCTACTGAGATGTATGGTTTCTGTGTCTCTGAGCCTGGACTGGACCATGTGCCTTTGTGTCCCTGTGGCTAGTACTGTATCCTTTTTCCTGCCCTGGGCCCCCATCAGGCCTGGCTGTTGATGGACATCCACCCACGCCCAGGGCTCTGATAGCTCAGAGAAATGGCAATGCTAGGAGGTGCTGGTGATCTCCCCAGGCAGTCAATGCCCTGGTCCCATCACAACACTGCCCTATTGCCATTAAACACTTGCCGGTCTCAACCCCCATGTGCAACTACAGAGTGGGCTTAATGTCCTGCAATGTCCACTGTCTAGGAAGTTCTTGGCAAAGTCTAAGGAATTGGGTATCAGAGCAAAATAAAGCCTCCCAAGTTTATATCTGGAGTTGAGTCCTCCACAGAAACAGCAAGTTTCCCGCGCTTGAGAGGAAGCCCATACCACACGGAGGACACAGGTGGCCACGTACTCAGACCCACCCTGAGGCCAGCCAGCAGGTACCTGCGTGTCCAGCCACTGCACCCCCTCAGGGGTGTGCTGAACTCTTCCATAGAAGTGCACTGGGAGCATGTACTCAGGCCGGGCCTTCTCCCAGGGGTTCCCGTAGCGCAGCCAGTCGTCAGCCTCCTCCACCTGTAAGGACCGGCAAAGAGGGGAGTTCTCAGGGCCTCCCCGGTGGTGCAGCGGTTGAGCGCTGGGTTGCGAAGCTGCCCGCAGCCTCTGCAGCGCCGCCGGTTAGATTCCCGGCTGCTCCCCGGCCACCGGAGGAGGGTCCCACATGGTGCGCAGACCTCTCCTGCCGCCCGCTGCTCCCCTCAGCAGTGTACTTTGGTCCTTCTGCCTGCTCTGCTCCCTGCTCTGGCTCTGGTGAATTCTCTCACCCTCCTGCGCTTCTGACTGTACCCAGTGCATGTATAAACAAAACAAACGAACAAACAAACAAATAAATAAATAAAACATGCCTCTATAAAAGAAAAAAAAAATCCAAAACTTAAAAAAAAAAAAGGGGGAGTTCTCAGAGGGAGGGACAGTCCTGCTCCAGGGCCAACCCTGGGCCCTGCTCTACACTGACCATGCAGTCCCGAGGATGTGGCCCAGCATGGAAATAAAACTGTAGGCTAGTTACAACACAAAAACTTCCAATTCCAATCAAAGCCAAGCTTAAAAATCAACAGACTACTAAAGAAACAAATGCATACTAAATTTAGAAAAATGCATCAAAGTAAAAAGACATCAAGAATCAGCTGAATTCAGTAATAATAAGGAAAGAAGTCCTAACACTACGAGGTGGCTGGGCCATGAGAACAGGATGCTAAGTCAAAAATGCTACATATGATATGATTCCAGTTCAGCAAAACATCTAGAACAACCAAAGCCATACACAGAACATAAGGAGATAGTTGTCAGGCTCTGGGTGTGACTGACAGTGGTGCTGGGTTTCTTCTGAGGATGATGAACATGTTCTGGAAAGAGACAGTGATGCGGGATGCTTGGCTCTCTGAATATATTAAAAACTACTTGATATCTATATAAAGTTGTTATTTTAAAAAGAAAAGAATCACAGGAAGCCCATTGCTTTGAAATGACACCATGCACCGGAGGGGGCTGGAGAGCCTTGGCTCACCTTGCTGCTAGGCCTCTCCAAGGCAGCTTATTATTTCAGACTGCACCCAGGGGTATGCAAAATCAGTGAGTATGTTGAATCTGCAAAATCAGTGAGCATGCAATGCAAAACCACTTCCAAAATAACACTAAAAACTGTCTCACAAACTCATCCTTTGAATAGAAGCATTGTAGGGTTATTTTCCCCACCACCCTGTAGAATTTATACTGCTTAGAAACAACAGAATAAATTAATTCAGGAGGGCAGTGAATAAAGAATCATGAAAATAAATTAAAATTTCAATGAGGTCAAGTCTTTTTTCTTTAAATTTAACAAGCAACCCTATGCATATTATTTTGAGGGACTTTTTTTTTTTAACAGTTTTCTGCAGAAATAAAAAGTCACCAGCAAGAGCATTTGGGTTATGATTTAGGAAGGTGACATGGCTGAGATGACTGCTTCCATATTTTCAATATGCCCCTCTTCATCATACTGGCAAGACTTCTGTTTCTGGTGATAGATAGATAGTCTTCACGTAACCAGTGCCAGCTTTCACCTCCTGCTGGCGTGTCCTTACACATTAGTGAAATTCTCCAATACCAGCACCTGGCTATCTCTCACAGGGTAATTTCAGGAGTCACCTGCAGAAACAGCACCTTCCCAAATACGAAAGGCAGAGGGTTCCCCTTTGGATCCCGCCTTCTTCCTGCCCCTGAAGCCAACATGCCAGGCAGGCTGACCTGTGGCCCATTTGTAATGATGCTGCTGTCCAATTATGTGCACATTTAATTCTGCTATGCAAAACTCAGCTAAAGCCACTCTCACTGACAGGTTCACTTGAAAACTCATCTGTCATTGTAGGGTTGTCTTTACACTGCAATGCAAGATGCCAAGAGACACAGGAAAGAAAGAAATGTCCATTTTCAGACAAACGCACCACCAAAAGCTCTCCTGCTGATAACCGTAACCCAGAGAGGCAGGAAAGAGCTGCAGAGTCTGCCTTACAAACACACACACAACCTCAACCGGGAGAGTCAGAGTGGGCCACCACGCACAGGGACTGGGGCACCGGAAAAAAACTCAGAATTGTTAATGAAATTATCGAAAGTGCTAGGAGGAGACACATTTCTCCCTTCAAGGTTGGAGACAGCATTTCTATAAATTAAGCAATGACAGAAATCTGTTTTAAGTTTTCTTTTATGTTTAGCCATTATTTTTCTTTACTAACATTTTGTTATGAGCATTTTCAAACATATGGAAATGTTAAAAGAATTGACATCACTCCCACATCCCTGCCACCTAGATTCTTTAACTGTTAACATTCGCTGTGCTTGATGTAGTACAGGTTCATCCCTTTGTCCCTAATGTTCTGTTGCTTTTCAAAGTTGAAGACACTCTTCCACTGGACATTTAAGTATGTGTGTCACTAAGTACAGTCTATTATGTATTTATCTTTTAGGTTGCTACAGGTACAGTGAAATGTGTAAACCTTAAGAATGGCACTGATGAGCTGTGACAACTGCATGTGCCTGTGTGACTGAACCCTCTCGAGCACGGAGCATTCCCATCACACGGCCCCTAACCGGTTGTTCATTTGGGCTGTGCTTCTCTCATGTTACAAACCTTTGATCCCAGTCTGGCTCTGCTCTATCTGTGACTTTCTGGCTCCAAATTATATTACATAAACTATATTCCCTTCCAGCAGATGGTTATGTCTTCCATCTGAAGGGCCAAATGAGGGGAGATGGCCACCTTGCCTGGGTAGGACAGTGAGACCGTGCTTCCCCCACACATCTCTGGCCACCTTGCAGAACTGCCTGCTGCTTAGGTGGAGCCTGATCTTCCTAGAGGACACTTTGCTTAGTAGTCTGGTCTCTAACCCCACCAAATACTGTTGCTCATTTGTGTCAGGGAGTGAAGGCAGGAGGTGGGAACAAAGTCCAACTGTTTTTCTAATTGCTCCAGCTGTCCCTCTGCTGGGAACTGAAGAGGGCCACCTTTGATGTGCGTGCAGCCTTGGCACATGCACACACACATACATCCCATCAGGCCCAGCTGGGTGCCAGGCCCCACCCCACAAGGTCACCACCCAGAAATCATCTGCAAGGAGACAGCTCTTCCAGGCCTTATAGAACCAGGACAAGAGTAGGGAGCTCAGGTCGCTGCATGGACGCCCACCACTGCTTTGCTTTCGACTGGCATGCTGTCTCTCTAAAGAGTTTAAAGAATAAAAATCCCAACTGTGTATTTTCTTGCACGAATGGGAATGAATAAACAAGTATAGGAGCCAAGTCTCACTCACCTGCCAGCCGTTGACAATCTTCTGGTTGAAAATCCCAAACTCATAGCGGATTCCATAGCCATAGGCTGCAAGACCCAAGGTGGCCATCGAGTCAAGGAAGCAGGCTGGAAAGTCCAAACACAAAGAACTTCTTGGCATCAATGACAAAGCCCACTGGAACCAAGCCAAGTAGGTGCTGGGTCCCTGGCCTCCAGTCAGACAGTGGCAACTCCCCTCAGTGTCAGGTTTCATGAAAGGAAAGCCCAACTCCCCCAGAACCCTCTTCAGCTTTAAGACACCAACATGGTGGCTATTTGGAGGTGGGAGGAAAGACTCCCACAGAGAACACTGAGGAACTCAGCATGTCTTTAAACGAAAACGTTCTATCAACCTTCTTTTTAAGACTTTCACTCAGGCCACAAGTCCTGTACCTCTTTGCACATAAAATCCAAGCTGGAAGGGGAGGAGGGAACATCACAAAATCTCTCCCCACGAGCTAGTGAAGAAGGCAGAGAAGAGGGGCTGGTGATGTATGTTTCACTCTCTGCCACCACTGAATGGCATCCTGCCCCCAGTTTCCCAAAAGGGGACAGAAGCACCAAAATATCATCAAAAAATGAAAACAAATGTTTTGAATAAAGATCCAGAAGGCAGCCTTATTAAAAAAGGAAAAAATGTCTAAACAACTATTAAAGTATGTTAGACCTTTGCTGAGGGGGTGGGATAAGATGACCTAAGATGTAAGACCTGCTCTTTTCTGGAGGAAATCACTCTCACAGGCAGGACACAGGGCTTGTCAAGCTACAGAAGGCTGGGGGATGCTGGGTCTGCACAGTGAGGGGGGTGCGCATAACAGAGGAGGAGGAACTGTCACCCCAATCACAGGAAGGCCATTGCAGAAGTGGCAAAAAAGGTGACGGGGATTCCAGCAGGAGCCAGACTGGGAAGGCCGGGAATGCCCTGAATGGGAACAGATGGTGGAGGGCAGGGAAGGGGACACTGGTCACTTTCAGAGGCTTAGATGAAGGGTGAGCTTAGGCAGCTAGTGGGTGAAGAGGACTCAGGGACCTGGGGCTTCAACAAGCTGCAAAAACAGCTTCTGCTTTTACTGACTAGAAAAGGGAAAGTAGGAAGACACTCATGATTGAGAAAATGCCACTGGGGTGAAGGCCACAGAGTGAACTGAGTCTTGGGCTGGTGGCATACAAGGTATCCATCCTCAGCTCAGTGTCTAGTCCAATGTCACCCTCGAAAACAAGAGCAGATCTCTGAGTGTGGGAGCATAACATACAGGATACTCCAGGGAGGTGGGGGGACAGGTCTTGCCAAGTGTTTTTTGTGTGTGGATTCATGTGCTATATTGTTTGAGGGAAACATGTTGCACTTACACTTGTTGAAGAATTTAAAATTTGAAAACACACACATATACACCTCAGATCAATTTTAGGATGTGTGCTCCCTTTACAAAATGACAACTCCCCAAGGGCCATGACGCAGAGTGGGCCACCCTCGCTGTACAGTGCAACACAAAGCTTACTTCTGCCCCAGAAGCACTGCCTGAGAGCCTTAGGCACACGATGCAACCAAATCTCAACATGCTATCTCCACTTCCACCCAGACCCCTTGTCCCCAAAAAGCTTGTAAAAATAATTTAAACAGGGGAAAAAAAAAAAGACAAAAACTGGATATGCTTTCAGGATGGTCCAGGGGACAATGACAATTATCCCATGAAGGAATGGTTCTGTTTTTTCAGGGCAATCTGATTACTGTTAAGAAAGCAGGAACAGCTTCTTGTAAGGGGCGATATTCTCTCTCTGTGTGTGTGTGTGTGTGTGTGTGTGTGTGTGTGTGTGTTCATCTCTCTTTCTTTCAGTGGTTGGCACACTGGAAACCCCTCCAGCACCAGTTACCCAGCACTGGCACCTGACTTTCATGATAATTATGAAGTATGTGAACGAGAACATAAATTCTGCATTATTTTCCCACTGGTGACAAAGATTTTGACTTGGGGAACACACTCTCCCATGTATTCTGAGGCAAATTTGCCCTGACAGACTAGAGCTAGAAGCGCAGTGGACCTTGGCCTCTCCAGGTGACCACTGACAAGGGCCCAGCCAGGAAAGACCCAGTCCCAGTGGATACAGTTACCTGCCAGCCTCCCCAGGCCTCCGTTCCCAAGGCCAGCATCCTCTTCTATTTCTTCCAGTTCTTCCAAGTCCAGCCCCAGCTGTGAATGACAGTAGAGGTAACATTTTAATAATACTTAATAGTTTCCCTCAAGCAACAGGAGGAAAATGATTTAAATCTGATGATCTTATATCAAAGGTTAGAATTTTTCTTTTAGATTTAAAAGTCTAAAATGTTAAAATATGGTGTTGGTTTAAATCAATGCACAAAAATAAAAATTTCCCAGGTATTTCAAAATTTGCCAAACTATTTAAGAGTCAACAATCAAAATGAGACTTGGTTTAACAGCCAAAAATATTATTACCAGGTTACTAACTTACTTATTATGGTGGACAGATTATAATATGTATCCTGAAAATGAAATCAATGGTTTTAGTAATTCTTTAATTTTACACGGTTTAATAATATTTATGACATTTTTTCAAACCAAATCCTGAAAGCACCATACCTGTGGCATTCCAATTGCATTCAACCAATCTTGTGAAATATACACGATATGTTAAAGTCACAGAAAAAGCAACAGAATCCACTCTACCTTATTTAAAACTGTTCCATAATGCAGATTTTAAGTCTCTTGATTATGGCATATGGATAATTGCTCCATCAATCTAGTTTTAGGATATGAAATACAACAAATTGCTCACAATAATTATCTTGAGCAGTGGTTTTTATTTTTTTTTATATTTTTTTACTGAGATATATGTATTGTAGTTTTTAACCTATATTTTCTTCTATATATTTTATGGTTTCAGGTCTTAAGTCCAGGTCTTTTATTCATTTTGAGTTGATTTTTGTGCATGGTGAGAGGTAGTAGTCTAGTTTTATTCTTTTGCATGTGGTGGTCCAGTATTCCCAGCACCATTTATTGAACAAACTGTCCAAGTCCCATTGCATATTCTTTGCTCCTTTGTCAAAGGTTAGCTGTCCATATATATGTGGATTTATTTCTGGGCTTTTTATTCAGTTCCATTGGTCTGTGTGTCTGTTTTTGTTCCAGTACCACACTTTTAATCATTATGGCTTTGTAATATAATACGAAGTTTGGCAGTGTGATAGCTCCATTCTCCTTTGTTTTTGTTGGTAGGGCTTTAGCTATTCGTGGTTTTTTGTGGTTCCATATGAATTTCATCAGCATTTGTTCTATTTCTTTGAAGAATGTCATTGACATTTTTATTGGAATAGCATTGAATCTGTAAATTGCTTTTGGTAGGATGGTCATTTTAATATGTTAATTCTTTCAATCTATGAGCAGGGGATATCTTTCCGTTGCTTTGTGTCTTCTTCTATTTCCTTTAACTGTTTCATAATTTTCTTTGTAGAGGTCCCTCACCTCTTTTGTTAGGTTTATTCCCAAGTATTTGAATTTTTTTTTGTTTCAATTATCTATAAAAGGGATGGTTTTCTTGATTTCTTCTTCAGACTGATTGTGTATAGGAAGACTTCTGATTTTTGTGTGTTGATTTTGTATCCTGCTACTTTTGCTAAACTGGTTGATTATTTTGATTAGTTTTTCTGTGGAGTTTTTAGGGTTCTCTACGTATATTATCATATCGTCTGCAAATAGTGATAGTTTTACTTCTTCTTTCCCTATTTGGATTTCTTGTATGTCTTTCTCTTGTCTTATTGCTCTGGCTAGGACCTCTGTATTATATTGAAGAGCAGTGATGAGAGAGGACATCTTTGTCTTGTTCCTGATCTTAAAGGAAAGGCCTTCAGCTTTTGCCACTGAGAATAATACTGGCTGTGGGTTTGTCATATATGATTTTTATCATATTAAGGTATGTTCCTTCTATCCTGAGAATTTCAAGGGCTTTCATCATGAATGGATGTTGGACTTTGTCAACTGCTTTCTCAGCATCTATTGATATGATCATAGGGTTTTTATTTTTCTTTTTGTTGATGTGTTGGATTACACTGATTGATTTTCCTATGTTGAACCATCCTTGTGCCCCTGGAATAAACTCCACTTGACTGTATTGTATTATCCCTTTGATGCATTGTTGGATTCTGTTGGCAAGGTTTTTGTTGAGGATTTTTGCATCCGTGTTCATTAGGAAGAGTGGTCTGTAATTTTTTTTTTGTGTGTGTGTTGTCTTTGTTTGGTTTTGGTATTAGTGTAATGTTGGCTTCGTAGAACGTGTTTGGTAGTATTCCTTCTTTTTCAATTTTTGGAAAGAGTTTGTGTAGGATAGGCACTAGCTGATGTCTGAATGTTTGGTAGAATTCATTTGTGAAACCATGTGGGCCTGGGCTTTTGTTTTGGGGGAGTGTTTTGATTACTGCTTCAATTTTGCTGCTTGTAATTGGTCTGTTTATGTGTTCTATTTCTTCTTTATCTAGCTTTGGATTATTATATCATTCTAGGAATTTGTCCATCTCTTGTAGATTGCTCATTTTTTTTTGCATATAAGTGTTCATAGTAATCTCGGATTATTCTTTGATTTCAATGGAGTCTGTTGTGATTTCTCCTCTTTTGTTTATAATCTTATTTATATATGTTTTCTCCCATTTTTTTTCTTTGTGAGCCTGGCTAGAGGTTTGTCTATTTTGTTTAATTTTTTAAAGAACCAACTTTTGGTTTCATTGATCTTTTGGGTATTTTTTAAATTTCTATTTAATTTATTTCTGCTTTGATTTTTATTATTTCCTTTCTTCTACTGGTTTTAGGGATTTTTTGTTGTTCTTTTCTAGTTCTTTGAGATATGAGATTTGGTTGTTTGAGTTCTTTCTTGTTTCTGATGTGAGCCTATATTGCTATATATTTTCCTCTTAGTACTGCTTGCTGCATCCCATACATTGTGGAAATTGGTGTCCTCGTTGTCATTCAACTCAAAGTATTTTTTAATTCCTTCTTTGATCTCCTTTTTAGTCCAGTGGTCTTCCAGTAATGTGGATTTTACTTATTTTTATTTAAGTTTTATTTATTTATGCATACAAGAACTGGGGTACAGGCCAGAGGTGTGGGGGGTGAGAGGATTCACCAGAGACAGAGTGGGGAGCAGAACAGGTGGATTGACTGAAATACACTGCTGAGGGGGGCAGTGAGTGAGACAGGGGAGGTCTGCTGTGCCATGTGGGTAGCTCCCTAGTCAGGGATCGAACTCGTGCTGCAGAGGCTGTGGATAGCTTCATGGGTTGCGTCTTAACCCCGTGTGCCACCAGGGAGGCCCATAGTGTGGATTTTAATCTCCATGAAGTGGGAGGGTTCCTTGTTGTCTTTTCATGATTTATTTCTAGTTTGATGCTTTTATGATTGGAGAAGATAGCAGGAATGATTTTGATCTTAATGTATCTGTTAATGTTTGTTTTGTGGCCCAGTATGTGATCAATTCTGAAGAATGATCCATGCACTTGAGAAAAATGCGTACTTGGATTTTTTTTGGGTGCAGTGTCCTATAGATGTCTGTTAAGCCCATGAGTTCTATGTCTTTATTTAGGGCTCTAGTGTCTTTGTTAATTTTTTGTCTTGCTGATCTGTCTATTGGTGTGAATGGGGTGTTGAAGTATCCTACTATGTATGTATTTTCTTTAATGAAAATACAGAGCTGATAGTAATTGTCTAATATATTTTGGTGCTCCTCATTTGATGAGTATATTTTGATGAGTGTTATATCTTCCTGATGTACTGTCCCCTTGATCATAATGTAGTGTCTGCGTATGTCTCTTTTTACCTTTTTTAATTTGAAGTCTATTTCATATGATATAAGTATAGTTGTTTCTGACTTCTTTTTTGGTCCAATTGCTTGCAGGATTGTTTTCCAGCCTTTTACTTTCAGTCTACATTTATCTTTTGTAGTTAAATGTGTTTCCCAGAGCAGCAGAAGGTTGGATTTTGTTTTTTAATCCAGCCTGCTACTCTGTGTGTTTTTATTGATGAGTTTAGTCCATTTACATTTAGAGTTAATATTGATATGCTGGCATCTGTATTTGCCATTTTGTTTGTCTTTTTGTGATTTTATTCCTTGCTTTATTCTGTTCTTCTTATTCATTCCTCTGCTGGGTTTGGCTTTAGGACTTCTTGTAGAATTATTTGGAGTGGGGATTTAGTTGTAATGAATTTCTGGAGTTTCTGTTTGTCTGAGAAGGTTCTTATTTTTTCTTCATAGAGGAAGGAGAGCTTTTCAGGATTGGCATTCTTGGTTGGCATTTGCTGTCTTGAAGTTTGTTGAATATGATACACCATTCTCTTCATGCCTGTAGTGTTTCTTCAGAGAGGTCTGATGTCAGCTTGATTGGTTTTGTTTATAGGTTATCTGTTTCTTCCCTTGCCAGTTTGGTTATTTTTTCCTTGACTTGGACTCTTGCGAGCTTTACTATTATGTGTCTTGCTGTAGTTTTCTTTTCCTTGTGATAATTTGGTGTTCTTCACGCTTCTTCTTTTTTTAAAAAAAAATTATTTATTTATTTATTTATTTATTATTTATTTATTTATTTATACAAGAACCAGGGTAGAGGCCAGATGCACGGGAGGGTGAGAGGATTCACCAGAGACAGAGTGGGGAACAGAACAGGCAGACTGACAAAATACACTGCCGAGGGGAGCAGCGGGCATGACAGGAGAGGTCTAGCGCACCATGTGGGACCCTCGCTGGCCGGACGGGATCAAACTGGCACTACAGAGGCTGCAGACAGCTTCATAGCGCGGCACTCAACCCACTGCGCCACCAGGGGAGGCCCTCTTCTCGCTTCTTGTATGTCTATATTTGTCTCCATTTTCATGCTTGGGAAGTTCTCTTCGATTATCTCCTTGAATAATTTCTCAGCTCCTTTGTCTCTGTCCGTACCTTCCAGAATTTCTGTAACTCTTTTTTTAAATTAATATTTTATTATACATAATTCTTACATCATTTTTCATTTTTGCACAATGTATGCATTATCATTTTGATTATATTGCCCACACAATTGCACCCCCCCCCTTATTTTGACCTTAGTCCTTCCTCTCTCCTTCCCTCCCCCCACGCCCCGCATGATGTGTCTCTGGCTTATAGTTGCTTGTTGATTTTTATTTTTACTTTGTATTAATTAGTCTTTTTCCTGGTC